AAATATATTCAGGAGGCACAACGTACGGGGTGACTAACATGGGGAAGGGGGTGTCCAGGATGAGGCCCAGTGGGCTGTCATGGATACTAGGAGAAATCGGAGGAAGATGCTGAGGTCAGCAGGGGACTTGGGAGGATGTGAGGAGGCCAATGAACATTTAGGAGGCTGCCAGGGATCAATGGCAAAGTCAGAGGCAAAGACAAGAGACTTTGGAGAGGCTTATCCAGGGACTGAAGCTGAAAGTAGAGGATGACGGTAACATTCCCCAGGATATGTGTGGAAGGAAGAAAGAGACCCTGTGTTCTTACTTATGCTGCACCCCAAGGAAAGGACTAAGAGCTGAGCTCATTGTGAAATAAACTATTACTCCTCTTTGAAGTTTTATGGCTCAGAAAGTAGTCCTGTTACCTTCTTCTTTCCTCCAAACCTCTCTCAGAGGTGGGCAGGGCCCTAGAGAAAGCTCCAGAGCAGGGGGCAGGTTCTGACAGCGAGTCACCTCGGCACAGGAGAGAAGGCAAGGCCGGCCCAGGGCCCATGATGAGGCACCCGGTTCCCAGTCCAGGACACTACGGCGGGCAGACCGGTGCTGGATCTGGGCTTGGGTTCTGGCCCCAAAGCTTACAGACTCTGTGACTCTGGGTTAAGTCCCTTCTCCCCGGAGACTCCTGTTCTTCATTAGGGCAAATTGGATCTGTCCTAGGTTCTACTTCACAGGGTAGCTAGGAGGGCGCAGGAAACCCCAAAGGATGTTAAAGCACCTTGCGCGGTGCCAGTACACTGCTCGCTGCCAAACACCTACCAACAGCTGCTGTTGTCACACGACTCTTTCAAACCTGAGCTTACGGTGCCTCTCAGCTCAAACCCTCCGATGCCAATTTCATTCAGTGAAATCCGAAGTCCTTTCCCCGGCCTAGCAGGCCCTAAGTGATCTGGCCTGAGTTACCTCTCTGACATCATCTTCTATCACCTTCCCTCCTTCTTCAGCTGCTGCAGCCACACTGGCTTCCTGGCTACTCCTTGAATACATCAGATATAGGGCTCAGGGCCTTCACATTTGCTGTTCTGTCTGGAATGCTCTTCGCTCAGATTTTGTCATGGTGTATTCCCTCACCTCCTCAGGTCTCTGCTCCAAACCCACCTCTTCAGGGAGGCCCTTTCTGTCCCCTTCATCTAGGACAGGCCCCTTTGTCACCCTCTACGCCAACTCTATGAGGTCAGTCGCTTTTGTTCACAGACAGGTCCCCAGCATCTAGATTAGTGCCTGGCACACATTTGTGGAACGGGCGGATACATGGATGCTGCCGTTGGGCCCACTCACTCACCCGTCTCTCTCTCTCCCACGGGGCAATGTAGTCCCTCTCCCGACCACCAGGCCCAGAGAGGTTCTGGGGGCCGCCGGGGCCAGGCTCCTTCCAGCGTCGCCGCCGCTCTATGCCATAGAGCCCAGGCTGACTATGGCCAGACTCAGACATGGTTGCCTACAGAGAGACAGAGGTGGATTTCAGGGTGCAGAGTCTCTCTCCAATCTATTTGGTTCACGCTGGACTATAAGAAGTCACTTCCTTTCAAGAGAGCTCTGTGGCTGTGGCAGTGACTGCTAGCTGGCTCTCAAGATCTATTCTTTTCTCTTCTTCAAATAAACAAACAAACAAACAAATAAATAAAGTCCTCGGTTCTGAGCTGGGCACATGGCTGTCCGGAACACACCTTTCGGTACCCTTTGCAGTTAGGTGGCCGTGTGACTAAGTTCTTTCTGGCCAATGGTAGGACACCAGAAGTGTGTTCTGGCAGCTTTCAGAAACTCTCCTTCATAGCTGCTGGCACATGCCTTTTGCCCTTTCCTACTCCTGGTGGGAAGAAATGAGCTCCAGCAGCCACCCTGGACTGGAAGGCAGGCAGGCGTGGCAGAAACAAATTTGGTGGTCCCGTTTACCTGGCGTTGTCTACTATTGGATGCAGTGGGAAACCACACTTCTCTTACCTGCAGCCAAAACTATTCCCATCTACTCATCACTTTGCGCCAACATGTATCTCACAGGGGGAGGGGTCACATAAAAACGGGACATATGGGGCGCCTGGGTGGCTCAGTCGGTTAAGCGTCCGACTTCGGCTCAGGTCATGATCTCTCAGTCCATGGGTTCGAGCCCGTCAGCCTCTATGCTGACAGCTCAGAGCCGGGAGCCTGTTTCAGATTTTGTGTCTCCCTCTGTCTCTGCCCCTCCCCAGCTTCTGCTCTGTCTCAAAAATAAATAAACGTTAAAAAATTAAAAAAAAAAATGGACATATTCTTTCCCAAACTGTAGCAAAGCATTTCCTTACAAACCAGTAACATGAACCTCAGTCAGACAACTACTGCATTGATTACATAACACTGGCCTGTGCGGGGGTGGGGCTGGGGCTCCAGCATTCAAGGGCCTATCTTCATCTTGTGTCCCTCTACATTTCAGTCTGTTTACCTTCCATTTCTGATGGTCTGCCAACCCTCACACTCCAAGTCTCAACGGTGGTTGATCTAAGATGTTATAAAATGAATTGCCACCTATATGGTCTACTCCCTACCATTTAACTATTTTTACAGGTCCCTCTAGGGAGTTTCCCCAGGTGTTTACACTTCACTCTCAAGAAGTCTACCAGTACTTAACAGTCTTTTTGCAGGAAGTCTACGAGTACTTAACAGTCTTTTTGCAGAAGAAGCCATTTCCTTTTATAGCTCAGAGGTCAAGTTGGCAAACTGTAGGCTATGGACCAAATCAGGGATGCCTTCTATCTTTGTAAATAAAGTTTTATTGGAATACACCCACATCCATCAATTTAGAAGTTGTCTATGGCTGCCTTCCTGATATAATGGCAGAGCTGAGCAGTTGAGACAGAGACAGTATGGCCTGCAGATGCTCAAACAATTCTTCTCGGGGGGCGCCTGGGTAGCTCAGTCGGTTAAGCGTCCGACTTCGGCTCAGGTCATGATCTCACGGTTCGTGGGTTCAAGCCCCGCGTCGGGCTCTGTGCTGACAGCCAGCTCAGAGTCTGGAGCCTGTTTCAGATTCTGTGTCTCCCTCTCTTTCTGATCCTCCCCTGCTCACACGCTGTCTCTCTCTCTCTCTCTCTCTCAGAAATAAATAAAAAAAATTAAAAAACAAAACAATTCTTCTCTGGCCCTTTACAGAAAAAGTCTGCTGACCCTTGTTTAGTTCTTAAGTGCCTGTGAAATCATTTTTATTGAAAAAAAATTTTTTTTAGGTAGGCTCTAAGCCCAGTGTGGGGCTCGAACTCACAAACCTGAGATGGAGAGCTGCACCCTCCACCAAGGGAGACAGCCAGGTGCCCCTGCCTGTGAAATGGGCCTATGAACCGCCTGCCTCCTACCCAAGTACACAGTGAGGAACAGGTTCCTGTGAGAGATTCTCTCTCCAGACCAGCAGCATCTGTTTACAGGACGTAGGAGGAACTTTGCTAGCCGGGCAGGGGCTCCTCTGGCTCCTCTCTCACTGCTCCAAGTGACCTCTCCTCGGGCCACAAACCCAGCTGAAGACTGCCTTCTGAGACAGGAGGGCAGAGCCTGTTTACATAGGCTTATGGAAGATGATCTATTCAGCACTTAAATGACTGTTTACAGTTTCTGATGGAGATCGCCCTCAGACACTGGCAATCCTCCCTCCCTTGCAATTAAGGGTCACTTTACACATTATTCTCGAGACAGTCCCACCGCCCACTCCAGTGCTTAAGTGTCTCTTTTCATTCCTCAAGAGGGATTCTGCCCCAGCACTCGATCTGTTTACACAGCAAGAGAACCCCCTTCCCACGCAGGAAGCGTCGGTTTGCATGTTTCTTTTCTGGGAACTTCCACAGTATTTGGGTCTATTTAACAGCTCTATGGGGGAGCTCCCCAAAATGAGTCTACATACAGTTTGGGGACTCCCCAGTGTTTCCAGGCCCCTTTGGGGAGTCTCCCAAAATGCATAAAGCCAGTCCATTTGTGTTTATTTACTGGGCTCTTACAGTGACCTCCCAGACGTTAAGAATCTAACTAGGCATTCTTTGGAGTTTCCCAAAGTACTTTCCCAAAGACTCCTCTAACCCACTCCCCCCACCCCAGAAGTTAAGAGTCTATTTAAACTATTTCTCTAAGGACTCGCTAACACTTAAACAGGTATATTTACAAGTTTCTATATGGGGCATCCCCTAAAACCTCTAAGTCTACATATATATTACTCAGAGACACCCCCCCCCATAGTTAGACACCTGCTACAAGCCTCGTATGGGAAACCCTACGATTTCGGTTTCTATCTACACGGAATTCGGAGGACTTCCCAGGTATATAGGGACTGTCTGCAGACCCTCTGCGAACGTGTTCCCGAAACTTCTCTTTACATGCGATCGTTGGACGTTTGCAACACTTGACGGCCACTTTACAGGCCCTATTAGGCCCTCCCAGAACTGAAGTTCTATTTACACAACTATTCATCTCCTCTCCCCGCCACGCCCGCCAACCCGGCATTTTACGGGTCGCTTTTGGATCCCTACTCAGCTACGCACACCTGCCGGACGTCCGAGCGACCGGTTAACGGTCGAGACGGGGGCGGGGCCCCGAAACGCGCCCCGCGCCCCGCCCCCTGCTGGTGCACGAGCCTCGCGCGGGCTTTGGGGCCCCTTACCTAAGGCGGCTGCTGATTGGCTCTTGGGGCGCAGCGCTACGCGCGCCTTCCGTGACGGGGCTGGTGGGGGGAGGTTCCACTACAAGCCACAGGCCTGCAAATGGCGTCTGAGGGACAAGGAGCGTTGGGGAGAGAGAGAGAGAAAGCAGGCACCGGTCACTCCGGAACCGGTCTAGGCACCCCGGAAGTGGCACCCAAAGAACGACGGCCCGAAAGAGGAAGAGGAGAAGGTAGAGCGGGGCGGAGCGGAGACCAGTACCCGCGGGGGTGCTGACTTTGCGCATGCGCCGAGGGCTGGGCGCTCCAGAATGGAGCGTCATCAACTGAGCATGCGTTGATGGAGGCGGTTGGCTGCAGCACGCATGCGGACGGAGGGGAGGCGGGAGAATGCTGCGGTTCCGCGTTAGTGAGCGCGCGCGCGCGCCTTTGAGGCCCATGTAGGAGTGTAGCGAAGAGAGGGGCGGCTCCGGAGAAAGCAGGTTCGAGTCCTGCCTCGTCAATGGCGTTGGCGGAATTCGGTGGGGTGGGGCGACAGGGAGCAATGTCCGGGTGCTGGGCCGTTAAGTGCTGGGAACACAGGAATGAGTTAGACCTAGTGTGTGCACTGGAAGACATCCCGCTCTGTGGGAGGAGACAACTAGAGCAAATCACTGAAGGAAAAGCCCCAAGTCGGTTTGACCTTGAAGGGTGGTAAACGGCTCTCCAGACGGAGGGAAAGATCTAGACTATCTTGGACTCAATTCCTCCTGGGTGGGAGGTGAGGCTGCAGAGATGGGCGGGTCAGATCCTCAAGCCCTGGGAGACGGAGACTGGTGGGAATAGGATTGTTAAATCTCCCGCCCTCCGCGGTGGAGGAGGAACCGAGGACTAGGGGGTCGAAAGTTCAAGAAGCCGATGGCGGAGCTCTGTGCTCACCAGAGGGAAATACCGGGTTCTGAGGGCGGCCCAAGGAGAGCGCATGCGCAGCGGCTTAGCTAGCTTCCCGCGGTTACCACTGGGAGGAGGAGGGAGAAGGGGCGTGTAAATCGTGTATATTGGTGAATGGGGGGAATTTACCGTTTTTCATTTGAAATCTTATTTAAAATGTTTTTTTAAATTTATATTTGAACATGGGATACATGTACATTTTGACAAAATTCAGGCAGCCACTAGGGTACACAAAGTCTACTCCGGTTCCCATATTCCTTTCCTAAAGCGCTGGCTCCCAGTTTACTTCCGGAACGACTGTTTAAGCAAAGCATTGGAGATAAGAGATTGAGCCAGGGTTCACATAAATGGCAGCTGACCTTGGCCACGTTCCTCCACCCTCTCTAGCCCCTTTTCTAAAATGGAGATTGGTGACACCTTATGATGTTCCTGGCAGAGTTAAATGGGTGAAAGTACCCAGAATAGTGCTTGGTGCGTAGTAGCACTATGTGTTGTCATTATTTTGTGCTGCGCTCTCCCCCCCGACCCCCCCAAGCCTGTCCCTGCTGCCATTTCTTCAGTACCCGTACCAGGTGGAACAATTTCAACAGGCTGCTGCAGGCGGGGTGAAAACACCAGTCCACGTACTAAGTTGAGAGTCCTGTTTATGGATTCTTCAAAGGCTGTGAGTGTTGAGCAGAAACACGCATGACAGACCATCCCTCCATATAGTGTGTCTGTCCCCTGTTCCTCTCTAGCATCTTCATCTCTGGTCATACCAGTTTTTCTCAAATTTTTCAATCCCAGATCACCCTCCATGCGAGTTTCACAACTCTGAGCAACCATCAGGAGGAAATGACTTTAAAAGGGAAAAGAAAGGGCCTGGCATTGACATTGAGCCCTGTGTGTACCAGGCTGTGTTTTATATACATCACTACAAGCTTTCCCCCTCCCCATTTAACAGATGCAGAAAATAACAGTCCGAAAGAGAACATCTTACTGAAGTCCCTTCGCCAGGAAGCAGCAGGGCAAGCCCGTCTCTCCCTAGAGCAAGCCCACATTTTTTCCTCTGGCAGCGGGCAGCCTGCCTAGCGGTGAGTCAGTGGTGCAGACAAGCACCCAAAAACCTGCCTTTTCTCATTAGTGGCATGGTTGTGTGGATGTATCACGCCCTAACCATTTCCCTGTTGATAAACATTTAGGCTGTTGCTGAACTTTGGCTCTTACAAGCGTTTGCTGCGGTTAATAACCTTGTATATCTGATTGCATGTGTGTGATAGGATTATCAGTGATATCTTCTTTGAAGTGGAATCGCTGGGTCAAAGGGTACACGTTTGGGAATATTGAGAGCCATTGCCACATGATGTATTCATTTCTCCAATGATTTCTGTGTTCATTTTATTCATTCATATGTTGATTGTGTTCTGGAACTTTAATCAGCTGCCAGGCACAGCTGTAGGCTGGAGCTCCTACAGGGAATAGGCCAGAGCACCTGCCCTCTAGGATCAGCTATTCCAGTGGAGCAGATTATGTCAGATAAAAGATGCTTGGAAGGATAAGTCAGGATAAGGAAATTTCCAGTGACAGAGGTCAGCGGCGGTCGGGTAGGGCTGTCTGAGGAAAATTGTCAAGGTGACCAGAATGGCTGGAGCAGAGTGAGGGGACGAGAGAAAGGATTATTTTGGAATGAAGCTATCAAGGGGGGCCAGGTTACATAGAGTCTTGTAGGCCACCAGAAGGGCTTTGGAAGTTACTTCCTGAGTGTAACAGGAAGCCGTTGTAGAGCTGTGAGCAAGGACCAGAGTGTTGGGATGTAAGTTTTATAAACATTTCTCGAGTGAAAACCCGCAGTTAATGACTGTGGATGCTTGTTCGGGTGAAGGCCACAGATACAGATCCGAGCTGTGAGGACGAGTGTTGAAGACTTCTGCTTTTTCGAGCCACATGACTGTTGTCTGTGCACAGAAAAGTTAAAGCGTTAAAGCAGCGCCAGTTGCTGTGAGGAGAACGACCTGCAGCTGGACACAGGTGATGAGGAAGCCCATGTCCCTGCCTGGATGGGAGATGATGGTGACTCAGAAAGAGGGTTGTGTGACAGGAAGAATGAATCAGGGATGACTTAAAAGTTATCCTAAAGGTTTTGGGCTTGACCAGCTGGACAAAGCGTGATGCCTTTTTTTTTTTTTTTTTTTTACTTTTTACGAAGATGTAGAGGAATCCTCTTCCTGGGAAATCAACAAGCTTTGAAATTGCTAACTCTGAGATCAATGGACGTGGAGTAAGGGGCGACAGTTAGGAGAGAAGCCAGGGTTGTAGACAGAAAATTTTTTACTGACTTTTCACTGTGAAATTTTATTATTTTATTTTATTTTTGTATTTTCCAAATTTTTAGATGTTTTATTATTTATTTTAGAGAGAGAGACAGAGTGCGAGAGAGGGAAAGGCAGAGAGAAAGGGAGACACAGAAATTGGAGCAGGCTCCAGGCTCTGAGCTGTCAGCACAGAGCCCGACTCTGGGGCTCACACTCATGAATCTCGTGAGCCAGGAGATCATGACCTGATCCGAAGTCAGGCACTTAATCGCCTGAGCCACCCAGGCGCCCCTCAGGAGTGTTGAAGGTGGGAGGAATTATAGCATGTTGCGTGCTAACAAGAGTGGTAGAGGGAAAAGGGGCGTGGAGACTTAGGAACTCGGTCCTCAGGCGGGTAGCAGCATGGTGAGAGGGAGAGAGGGATTGGCCTTGAATCAAAGAGGGGCCAGCTCTCCCTGGTAAAAGAAAGGAAAGTTGGACCATCTGATGTTCCCTCCAGATTGTGGAGACCACTCCTGTTCCTTCTGTGTTGGCAGCTACTGCACACAGCATAACAGCTCAAGAAAGGTGTTTGGCCCGCAGTCTGGTGTTGATGTAGATGGTAGGGCTTCCTTTACGAGCCATACTCAAGAACTGGACAGATGCTCTCGGTAGTTGTTCTACGTGGCTGGGCCAGAGGGAAGGGCGGTGGTGGGCAGTTATCTGACCCTTGGTCTTCTGGAAAGGGGGAGTCGGGGAGGTTGAGTCAGTCCCCAGCAGCCAATGATTTAATTAGCACTATGTAGTGAAGCCTCCATCAAAACCGAAAAGGTCAAACACACACACTCACGCTCACACTCACACACACACAAGGTCAGAGTTGGGAGAGCTTCCAGGTTTTAGGGCACATGGAGATTTGGGGACAGTGGGGCCCCTGGAGAAGGCATCGTAGCTTCCACCCTTCCCCATACCTTGCCTGTGTGTCTCTTCCATCTTCCTGTTTCTGAGATTTTTTTGGTTTATAATAATTACTGATTTATAATAACCAGGAATCCATTAAGTAAAATGTTTCTCTCTGAGTTCTGTGAGCTGGTGTAGCAGATGAATCCAACCCAGGGGGTCGTTTTTTGGAACCTGTGCTCTGTAGCTGATTGGTCCAGAAGCACAGGTGATAACCTGGACTTGCCACTGGCTTCTGAAGGTTGGGGGGTGGGGGGGGTTGCAGTATTGTAGGACTGAGCTCTTAATCTGTGGAATCTGATGCTGTTTCTAGGAAGACAGTGTCAGAATTGAGTTGAAGTATAGAACATCCGGCTGGTGTCTGAGAATTGCTTGGTGGTGTGGTGGGGGGGGGGGACCCACACACTGGAATTGGGTGCGGAATCACTAATGGTTCCTGCTAACAGCCAGGGTGGGGTGGGGGGATGTGGAAGGGGGTTATGGGGCCTGAAGAGCCCCCAGGGTGAGGCCTGTGGGTGTATTAACACAATGGGATACTACTCTGCAGTGAAAAAGCGTGAGCGGCAGGGATGGATCGCAGAGCCTAAGAAATCGGTCCATCTAGCATGTAGAGCAGGGCTGCTTTCAAAATCCGGCAGAAGAGGTCAGGATGGTGGTTACCAGGGAAGCAGGAGTGTGTTGGCTGGGAGGGAACATGAGAGCCTTTAGGGGGATGGAAACTTCTAGCTTGATCTGAGTGGTGGCTGCTCCAGTGAATAAATGGGTAAAAAGTCACTGAGACTGCATTTAAAATGTGTGTGCTTTATGTAAAAGGACCTCCATAAAAGAAAAAATGAGCTGCAAGAAGCTAGACTTTGACAGAAGGGCAGGTTGGAGCCACAGAAGTTTGAGCAAGGGCCAAGTTCAGGTCCAGGTATGGGTGGGAGAGTCCTCACAGTCCAAGGGAGGCGGGTGCTTGAAAAGAGAGAGGCCAGAATCTGCCTCAGCTCCTGACTGGCCCTCTAACCCTGGGAAGCCCCCACCCTTCTCTGGGCCCTCTTTTTTCCCCACTCAGGCCCCTGGTGGAGGTGGAGGTAAAGGTAAAACAGGAAAGGAGAGAAGCCCAGACAGAGCCTGTGAGACTGAGCCCCTTGAGGACAGAGACATCTGACTCATGCCTGCAGACCTAGCCCCTGATGGAAGTGCTGATTTAGTGAGGGGGAGTGCAGAAGCTGCTGGAAGGGGCTGTCAGGACCTATGTCCCACATTGGGGAATGGGTGCAGGTAGCGGGGCAGGTCCAAGATACTTGAGAACAGGGGATCGCTCCCACGTCCTCTTAGTTTCTTTGTGAAAAGCCCCTTCTAACCAGTTCCTGCCTTGTCTCAGCGGAAACCACCGCGGTGGAAAGTGAGGAGTTTCGGTACCCCAGGCGTTCAGGGTTACCATTCAGTGATAGTCACTGAGGCTCTGCAGGTGCCAGCCCTTGACATTGAAAACACAGTAGAGAACAAAAAATGAAAATACGTTGTTAATCATCCCTGAGCTTCTCATTGGGCCTGTTGGCTAAATGCTGGGGCTCTGGAGCCAGGCTCCGTGGGCCAGAGCCCAGCTCTCCCCTCTCTACTGTGGCTCTGGGTAGGTTTCTTAAATTTCTCTCTGCCTCGGTTACTTCATGTGTAAAACAGGACCACACAATACCCACTTTGCCTCCTTTTTAGAGATTTTGTGAAGTCATTTATATAGACTTAGCAGGGTGCTGGGTTCCAAAAATACTGTGGTTCATGGGGGGCTGTGAGAGCTCCAGAAAAGGCTTTCTAGAGAAGGGGACAGACACCCAGGCTGAGGCCTAAAGGAGGAATAGGAAGGAGGTGGCCAGCTGCAGCGGGGTGGGACGAGGAAGAATGGGTTTGGTAGGGGATCTGGCTGTAACACTGCAAGGAGGGCTTCCTGCAGGGGGAGGGTGTTGGAGATGTCTTCAGAGGTCCCATCCAGTTCCTGTCTCCTTTACTGCCAGGTGGGCTGGCGTCCAGAGGAAGGGCAGTTCGTGGCAGTGGGTGGTGCAGGCCCCAGTTTAGCTCCGGGGGCCGAGGGATGAGGCTAACTGTGGATTTGTAGGGAAATCCAAAGATAGCTCAGCAGAGAATGATGACTCGCAGCCCGGGCTTCCCCGCAAATCGAAGGAAGCGAGGATGAATCAGTCTCTCAAAGTGGAATGGAGCCGTTGTGGGAAGTGATGGGAAGTGAAACCTCCAAGAAGTCCAAGGCCATTCGGCCTCTGACTCACCTCAGGCAGGGCAGAGGGAGGGCTCAGCCACAGGGCAGGGCAAGCTGGGTGTGAATCTGGGCCTTGCGGCCAGACTTCCAGCCTCTTAGACGTGGCTCTTCCTGCAGCCTCAGTTTCTGTATCTCTACAATGGGTTGGGTCAGTCGTGGTGATTTATAGGAGGGGAGCACACAGTAGGGCCTCCAGAAGTGCCAGCCCCTCCCTACTTCCTGTCTGAGTCTTAAGCAGATAATGGAATGAGTATGTGGGATGGTTTGGGGTTCTTGGTAGTTTCCTGATGGGTGAGTTGTCATCTAGGTACTGGAGAGATGAGTGGGGGGAAGGGCTGCAGAGAAAAGAAAAAGAGCAGCCATGCGCTACTTCTGAAAATCAATACCGATTAATAAAAATGATGAACTGTCTCTTGTGTTTTTGATTCTTACTAAATGCCTGCCCGTCTGTGCCAGTCCCTGTTTTCATCTTAACAGCAGTTCCATGGGAAGGTGGACCCATTTTAGAGGTGAGGTAAAATGTTCAGAGAGGTGAAGCCACTTGCCCAAAGTCACACAGGCAGTGGATGGCAGAGCTAAGCTTGGGACCCTGCACTAAATCCTGGATTTGAAGCCTTTGTTCTTAGTCTCAGATCTGTGGGGGTGAGGGTTATTGAGGACCCACAGACCTGGGAGGGGACTTAGAGGAGGGGGTCTGCTTTACAGACAGGAAAACTAAGGTTCAGACCAAACAAGGGCCTTGCACTGGATGACCTGCCTGTTGGGAATGTGCATACGTTTGAAAAGAAACAGCAACTTCTTCTGGCTTTGTTTAACATTTATTACAAAGTTAAGAACAGAGACTGGTGAGTTGTGCCCCCCACCCGCCTTCTCTCCACCAGATCCTCTGCAGCTCTGGAAGACTGTGTTCTCCTTGCTCTCCCGGCAGAGGGCGCTGCTTCCCCTCAGCCTCAGGCCTGGTTCCTTCAGCTCCCGTATCCAGCAGTAACTGAGGCATCCCAGGATCCTGGACTCTGCACCCCCATCCCCCACCCCCCATCCCCTCCTCCTCTGGGACCCAGGAGTCTCACCCCCAGGCACCTCCCCTTCTAACTGAAAGCTGGAGGTCATCCATAGCAGCATAGCGAGGATGTTTTGTCCAGGGTATGTAGGGTAGTAGTGACCATTTTCCCATTGGGGGAATCGGGGGTGGGTGTGTGTTTGTGTGGCCACGGCCTTTCTTCTTGAGCCAGTGTCTCCTCCAGCAGCCATCCGTGAGTGAGCCCATCCAAAGGTGGGGCCCCCTTCGGTCCTTGCACTTGAGGTGCTTTATTCGTAGGGCTGGGTCAGGAGTAGCAGGGACAGTGTCCTCGACCTCAATCCTGGGGAAAGTAGCTTGGTCTGCCTCCATGGATCCTGGGGAGACAAACAGAGAGATGGCTAGATAGGCAGGCCAGAAACCAAAGGCAGAGCAAGAGCAGGGACACTGGGGTGAAGACAGACAAACACCAGTGGACAGAGGAGGAAGGAAGAGGGTGGGTGTACCTGTCACCAGCAGATGGGCATTTGGACAGAGACTGAGAACATGCCCAGAGATAGACAGACAGATCAAGCCAAGAAAGAGGGAGAAAATACTGAGGGTCAGCAAAGAGAAGGACTGTCCCCTTCCTTTACTGCTAGTCCAGGCCCATGTGCCCTGTCTTCCAAAGGAGAAAGGCCATCCCCTGCCCCTTCGCCCCATGGGCTGCTATCCACAGGCGCCCTTCCTCCAGGAGGCTCTTCTGCCTGAGTCCCAACCCCCTCACCAGCTACGTGGCCTCCTGGCGTGGTTCTGGATGCTGCTGCGGCCCCAGGGCATTGCTAAGCAGCTCAGCCAGGGTGTCCAGCTTCCCCGCCAGTGCGTCCATCCGCTTCTCCAGGGCCTGGTGGGAGCTGCTCAGACCCAGCTGCAGGTCACACAGGATCATGTGCATCTGGGCAGAGAGGGGGCCAGAGGCCTCAGCGGCTGAGGTGCACTTCTGCCTCATCCCAGAACTTGACTTGGTGCTTTCCATTCGTGGTTTAAAACACTCTTTAAAAGTGTGAGTGAGAATCTGTTTCCGTTTTTACAGCTATGGAAACAGGCCTAGAGCAGTTAAACTGACATGCCCAAGGCAGCACCTAGAATAAGGCTTAGTACATAGAAGGTAGGTGCTCATTAAACATTTGTGGAATTGATGAAGGACTTCACAGTAGCCCTTTCATTACCTTCTCAGATGAGGATTCACAGCTTCATCTTTGAGGGTGTGTGAGCTTTCTATGAGATTTCTTGAATTCTATGGTTTTAGCCAGTTAATCTTCAGAAATATGACCTGCCAATTCTGGCAGATCTAGGCCAGCCCCTCCTCACTGAGACCTGCCCTGAAGTTTAGGGGCCTGCATCTGCGGCTGTGTTTACCATGGCATTGGTGCCAATGGCCACTGTTTGAATTGTCTCGGGCTAATGAGAAAAAGCAAAGGCCACCGGATAAGCAAAAGGCTCTGTGAGCCAAGCCAAGGGATGTGATGTCACCACCCCAAGCAGTGGCTGAATCAAGTGGCCCCAGCAGAAGAATGGCAAGGGGGGGTCCACCTTGGCCAGGCAAGCCTGCCTAAGGCCCCTCTTTACAGTCACCACAGAGACTGACCTCCCCTGAAACGATGCCATCGGTTTGTGTCAGTGTTAATTTGCATTGTATTGGTTTTGCCATTTATGTTTGAATTTGGTGTGTATGTTTGCTTTGGTTTTATTTGTTGCCTAAGAGTCAGAATTGGAAGAAATTTCATCTGTCCACATGTAACTTGACAATAAAAATAATTTAAAACTAAACGCTGGAGTTCCTTATACTATTTCTTTAAGTTAAAAAGGGATCTGATGTGTCCCCTACATGAGTGTAAGAAACAGTTGAATCATTCATTCAACATCAAACCTTTGTCAGGTGCGTGTGTGTGCCAGACCCCTGCCAGTGTTGTCTGTGCCGGGGCCAGATTTCCCTACCAGTGCGGTGGCCCCAAACTCCCTTATAGACCCCTCCCACTGGGCCCCGGTACCTTGGAGATGTCCACCATGGAGTTCACTTGCTCTCGGAGCTTTCTGTGTTTCAGCCGCACCTGGCGGAACCTGTGGGAAGAGGTGATAGCTTAGAAGTGACCCTCGCTTGGGGATGGGTAAGGGGAGGAGAGACTCACGGAGACACAGCAGTGAGGAAGGGTTTCCAGAGAGCTGCACCCATGAGCCCATCTCCCAGGTAGAGACCCAGGTATCCTGGCCCACATGTGGGGTGGCACAGACCCAAAGACAGAGGTGCAAGATGAATCCTCACAGACAGAGTCACTATGAGGTCTCAGTGGACATCTGCTCAGCCCACACACGGGTGTCCTGACCCGGGCACACACTATGCAGGATGGAGGAGATGCTCGCAGAGAGGCCCTCACCTGTTGATGGCAGCCAGCAGCCTGCGCTGGTGCCTGCGGGCAGCTCCACGGTCCTTCCTGCGGGTGTGTTTGTAGAACATCCAGGCCTCCTGCAGCACTCGGGCAGCCGATTCCTTCATCTGGCGGTGGGCATGGTGTCAGTGGAGACAGACCCCTAGGGCTCTGGGAAGAGGTGCTGGGGCCTGGACTCCCTGGTCTGAGGAAGGGGAGGGTTGGAGGCTGGGGCAGGAGGGAATGGGTGGGGACTCCTGGGTGCTGTGGGTGCCGCAGGTCCGTCCTCACCTCTTTGGCATACTGGATGTCCATCATGAAGTTGTGCACGTGCTTCTCTGCCTTATTAAACTCCAGCTTCCGGGCCACCACGGCCACCAGCAGGGCTGTGCAGCAGACCCCCTGTGGGCAGATCAGACACTATGACAGGAGGGCTGTTGGGGCTCTTGTGCCGCCAAACTCTCTCTCCTTGAACCCTCACAACAGCCCCAAAAGGCAAGCAAGACCACCCCTCGGTGACAGGCAAGCAGGCCCAGGGAGGAGAACCACGGTCCCACAGCTGTGAGGGGGTAGAGCTAGGACACAAGTCACGTGTCTGAGTCCCACTCATGTGTAGCGTTCACACCATCAGAATGTCCCCTTTTGTTAAGGGCATGATTGGAGAGGGGTAGATTCTGGGCGAGGGGCAGTCCTGGCCACCACCTCCCCATTGCTCTCACCCAGTTGGCCATCAGGTCCATGAGGGTATCCCTCAATCTCCCCTCTCCCCTGTGGCTCCTGCCCAGTTCTGGCCGTGTCCCTTCCCTCCTGGATCATCTCCAGCCTCCCCTCTCCTGACCCTGACCCCAGAGAGATCTAACAGTTTGGAGCCTGCCCCCTTACCCTAATGTAGGCTCCCCCAGCCCCAAACTTCTTAGCCTGGCTTTCAGAGCCTTCCAAGGTCTAGGCCTTGGCTCCAGACAACTCAGCTTGGCCTCGTTCTGCTTCAGCTGCCTGAGCACTTTGGTCCATACACTCCTCCCTTCTCCCAAGGCCTCTGATCCAGCAGCTGTTTGGCGGCACCTGCTGTTCTTCCTTACAGTAAATTTTCTTCTGGAGCCTTCCCCTTCCCCAAGCTGTATCTCAGCTCACAAAAGCTTTGGACAATTTACTTGTTGCAAACATTGTTTCCTGGAGTGCCTGTGTTCCAGTTCAGCCCTGAGCACGTTCCTTAATCTCTCAGCGTCTCACTTTCCTCCCTGTAAAAAGGGCATGCCCTCACAGTATGACCCTGCAGATTCCTTAACACTTGGAAAGTGTTCAGAGCAGAGACTGGCACAGAGTATGTGCTCAGTAAAGTTGGCTATCATTATTCCATTATGCTGGGAAACCTCGGCCAGGAGGTGGGCTGTGAGCTCTAGTGCAAATTGCCTGATCTTTCTAGGTCTCTCCTTGGCACAAGGTTTCTCCTTGTGTCAAATGACACATTTCTGGAAGGAAATAGGGCTGGGAAGTCGGGCCTGTGTTCTTGAGGATGGTGAAGCCTAGGGTCCCAGGTTCCAAAGAGCAAGGATTAGGGGATGGATCCCTGCGTTTTGAAAGGAAATGGGGCAGTGGGTGTTCTTGGGGGTCTCCTTGAATGCCTTCGTGGGCTCCATGATTTCCTGGGGCCCAAAGGATGAGCAATTTGGGATAAGGGTAGGGTCCCTGAGGGAGCTGTACTCACCATCACTCCAGTGCAGAGGCAGACAATCTTGCCCCATAGGGTGCCTGGTACCACATCCCCATAGCCAATGGTCAGGAATGTGATGGGGATCAGCCACAGTGTGTCTGAAAGGTGTCCAGTGGCATTAACGGCCTGCCTATAGGGAAAGATGAGTTAGTTCTGAAACCTTACCCCATGATCCCTGATACTCTCCTTCCTAACACACCTACAGTCCCCAGAAACACCCAGAGAAAAAGTCAGTAAGTTCTGGGCTTTGGAGAGCCTGCCTGGCTTCCTCTCTGCTGTGTGAGCTGGGCAAGAGAGGCTCAGCCACTCTGGGCTGTGGGATTTGAACTTGGATCCCACCAGTTCCAAAGCCTGTTTGGTTTTAGCTAGGTTACCAGGACTGCTGCTTTCAGAGTGCATGGTTGAAGGGTTGAGAGCAGGCAGAAACCCAGCCCAGGGTCCACTTGTCCACCCTGACAGTGATATCATCACCCGGAGGAAGGGGAGCCTTTTTCTTTTAAAAAAAAAAAATAAATAAATAAAATAAAAACATTTTTTAAAGTAATCTCTACACCCAGTGTGGGGCTCAAACCCCAAGATCGAGAGTCTCATGCTCCAACGACTGAGCCAGCCAGGCGCCCCAGGGGCCCCTTTTTCTAATGTCCACAAAGATGCTGTATGGCCTACAGGTGGCCTTGTCAAGACTAAAAAGGCAGGACCCTTTCTTCCCTTCCCCTCACTTTATGGAAGGAGACATTTGGTTCCAGCCATGGAAGGGATTGAAGATCTTGATTTGTCTAACACAAGCCCACAGACCCCTTGCATCAGGGTCAGCAGGGAAAGCTTCATTCATGATGCCGTGAGAGCCACTACTGCCTGGAGGCGGGGACTGAATTTACACTGTTAAGCCCCACTTCCTTCATCCTGAAGGACATTCAAGTCTGAGGAGTTCTGATTTGGGATTTAGAAATGTGACCCCCTCCTCACCCTCCCATTTTTCAGATGAGAAACATGGTGGGAGGAAAACATTCTGCAAGAGGAAGGAGTTGAAAATCGTGAAAGATCAGAATTGCTGGGGAGACTTGAAGGACAGTGGAACTTGACACCCATTCTACAGATGAAGGAAGGATCTGAAAAGCCAGTGCTCGTCATTCCCCGCCTCTTTTCAAGAATCTTTTGCCAGAGGTACTAAACCAGAGGTTCCTGAACTTGAGCAGGGATCAGAATCCCCTGTTAAAACAGGTTGCTTGGCCCGAGCCGCTAGAGTGTTAACTTGGTGGTTCTGGGAAGGGCCTGAGAATTTGGATTTGCAGCAAGTTCCCTGCTGGCCCGGGAACCACACTTTAAGAAACACCAACTAAGCTTACCCTCACTTTCTTTATCTGTAAGGGAGAGAAACCGAGGCCCTGAAAGGCTACAGGCCCAGCATTCAGTCTGTCCAGCAGGCAGCCTGGAATCCTTTATCCATTCCCCGCAGGGAATTTCCTTCCAGAGCAGCCCCCAATCACCCCCATCCCAGGATCATGGGGAGTGTCCACAGAACATCTCTGTGCTAATTCGGAAAAGGTGTCACTGTCCTCCAACGAGGCAGTTGCAACCCTTGGCCTGGCCCCAGTACCTGGGTTTAGAGATGGAATATATGTCTGGAAACCCGAGACAGGGCAGGGGTGGAAGTGGGAAGGGAAGGGCTTGCTAGGGCCTGTGTGAGTCTGGGGAGACTGGAGTGGCCAGCCAGTCGGTTCCTCTCACCCCAGTGGCTGAGTGTGGACAAACAGCTTTCTCCTCGGCGTTGCCCCCCAGGGGCCCAAGCTGTAAGGCCATCCAGGACAGCTGTGGCTGTAAGCGGCTCCTCCAGATGCTCCTGGTACCCCCACCCTCCACCCCCAGCACCCTCACCTCTCGGCCACCGACAGCACCCAGGCGGTGGTGAGCCAGAGGCCAAGCGTGAGGCAGAGCAGCAGGCGACCAGGGTGCGTGTTCATGTACAGCTTGGCCACGAACCAGTGGCGGAAGCGGACCTGGTTGAGGGCGCCGATGCTGCGGTAGGACGCGTTGAGCAAGACGCCGCTGCGCAGGAGGACGGCGCGAGGCACCAGGTAGAGGCGCAGCAGCATGGCCAGCGACAGCAGCGCCTCCCCCTCGTCCAGGAAGCCCGGCCAGGACTGCGTCGCCGCGGACCGGGACCCCAAACCCTGAGCGCACCGCGGACCCCGCACCGGCGCCGGGTGCAGAGCGCACACGGCCAGCTCCAGCACGATCTGCGCCGCCTGCCGCCCGGTCAGCGCCACGCGCCAGTCCCGGAGCCCGTTGTCGGTCATGAACAACTGCGGGGAGGGGACAGATGGGGGAGGGAAGGGGTCACACGAAGGTCAAGCGGCCCTGCCTGCCTGCCAGCGCAGGGAGATAAGGGGGGCGCGCCCACCAGGGCCGGGGCCCTGGGGAGGGGGCGGAGGGAGGCACTTAGCGCAGGACAGGGACGGGCAGGTGGGACTGGGGAGGGTGGGGAAGGAGTGGGTCAGGATCTGAGGAGGGTGCCTCTCCACCTTCTCCCACCCCCCACCCCCAGTGTCAGCCCACTTCCAGAATTTCCTGTGGGCCCCACAGTGTTCTATATATCGAAGACACAGGTGAGGAAAACAGAAACCCCTGGGTCCCAGGAGCCTACAGCCCACAGCCACCGAGCTGTCTCCGCCTTCAGTTTCTGGGGACACGGCCAGTAACTAACTGTAACTGTAAATCGCACACCATTAGCAGTGACTCTAGCTAACATTTTACAGGGCACTTGGGACATGGGCACTGCTCTCTCTCTCCAATTTATGACTCAGGGAATGCTCACAACACAGTGAGATTGAAAGCATTATGACGCCCATTTTACAGATGCGGAAACTGAGGCCCAGGCCCCTCAGGTGTAGCAACACAGCTGAGCTACAAGTTGAGGCCACTTCACCGTTTGAATGACTGCTGTTAAGGATAATGTGTACTTTTTTACTGAGCAGGCACCACAGGGGGAATTATTACATATGGCCAATAAACCTCCCTTTTACAGGGGAAAGGGGGAAAGGGTAAAGGCAACAGGATACTGGGATGTAGGGAGTGGGGGGGAGAGGAGGGGTGGAGAGCTGGGTGTCTGGATGAGAATGAGACGGGAGGGGGGCGATGGGTGGAAAGACATGCCCCCCCCCAGGTCTAGGAGGTAATCGTCAGAGAGATGGGGAGCTCAGGAATAGGGACGAACCTGCAGGCACATAGCCTGGAATGGTGGGGCCTCAGGGATGGAGGACAGAGGTCTGGGGAGCTGGGCCTGGAGCAGGGGTGCCTAGAGGTGGGAGTTGTCAGCACCCCAGGGCTGCAAGTGGAGCATGGGACTGGGTTGCTGCAGGAGGCTCTGTCTGTCTGTCTGTGGTTATTCCCCTCTCGGTGGGTGAGGGTGTGGACGAATCTTAGGGCGGAGAAACCTCATTACTCAGACCAGGAGGAGGAGTGTGGAAAGTGTGAGCCGACAGGGTGTGGTGGGGGCTGGGGGGGAGCAAGGAAGGGGCCCCGGGGTGGGGCCCGCCCTACCTGGACCTCTTTGGCGTGAAATACCACGATAAGACAAAGAAGCAAGAAGGTGGAAATGCTGATCATGCATTTAACCAGGAACAGGTAGAGCGCCCACTGTTGGGAGGGATAGAAAATGGGGTAAGATTCCAGGTCCCCGGACTCAATTCCCAATTTCCTGGCCTCTCCCGCCCACCCCCCTGCCTGCCTCCCCCCTCCCCCCCCCCACCTTGCAAAATCTAGTTCTACCTGAGGCCTCAGTTTTGGGGAACTCTCAAAACCATCATCTGGCCCCCAGGGAGAGTGTCCCTTTCCTTCCCAGCCCGACAGCCTCTTCTAGGATCCACACCTGAGGGGGGGACCTTGCAATGCCTTTTAAATTCCCCCAACCCCTTTCCCGTAAAAAACGGTTCTTCAAGTGTGGGGTGGGGGTGGGGGGAGGTCTAGAAACACACACCTGGCCTTCAGAAAGCTCCCCCTCCCTTCCCTTCTCGCACAGCTGGTCCTGTCCTAGAAAGCAACCTGCCCTAGAAGGTCCTACTAGAAGGTCCTAGCATCTTCTCCGTTCCCCAAGGAGCCTAGAAATGATCTCTCAGTACTCAGGGAGTGAGTGACAGCCTCCCCCACCCACCCAGGGCACTGGGTCCCTGAGACCCCAGCCCCAGCTCTGAGGAGGGCCACTGAGTCCCGGCCCCGTGTCTCCTTCCCATTGCCCTCTCTCCTGGCTCTAAGCCCAGGGCAGATCTGGCCTGAAGCACGTGGCCTCTAGAAACCACGGAGAGATTTTTTTTTTTCCTCTCCCTTTGTGTGGCAATACCTTGGAGAAATCTAGAATTCTTGAAGGAGGGATTTAGGGGGGACTAGGATTGCTGGATTCCTTAGGAGGAGTGGGGAGGGGTCCCCACCTGAGGAATGTTGTCAGTGGGGAGGGGACCACCTGGCCTCCCATGCTGAGCTTAGCACCTGTTTTCCCTCAGATAGCTGCAGCCTCCCCCGGGGCCAGGGCCCCACCTCTGTGCAGGGGAAGAGGGCCAGTTTCCTGCCCCAGGGGGCCTGCCCCCCCCTCAGAACAATGGTGCTCTTGTTCCTAGCCCTCCCTACCCCTTCAGCCTTCTAAGTCTCCCTGGTTCCCTGTCCTTCAGTGTGTCTCAAAGCCCACTAGACGCACCCCCTGCCCACACAGCACCCCACTTCTCTGGTGGTCCTCTCCGCTTTGCCAGTTTCTCTCCCCCCAAATCCCCGACTCAGTCTCTTGTGTCTGAGGGTCTCTGTTTCTGCCAGACTTTCCTTCTCCCTGTGTGCGTCTCCCTCGGGGAGCTCTCGCCGTCTCTCCCTGTGGCTGTACTACTCTCTTACTGCATCTCTGTCTCTGTCTCATACCGCCTTCGTCTCTCTGTGTCTCTATCTCTCAGTGACAGCCTCTCTTCGTCCCTCTCGCTGCTCATATCTCCATCTTGTTCCCCTGCACCTGCCTCTCCTCCCGCCCCCCCCCCGCCCCCAGCAGGTGTCTGGGGCTCTGCAAAATGAGCCCATAAGATTGAGATGGAGGTGAGGGGCAGGGATGGATGTTGTCAAGACACAAGTGGAAAGGGGGCTGAGGAGGAACCCTTAGGGCCACGTATCTGAACCCTCACCCCCAGTTTACAGATGGGGAAACTGAGGCTCAGAAAGCTACAGCAACTTCCCCGAGTCCAGCTGCCAGAGGCAGCAGCCTGGCAGGCGGCAGAGGGAAGGACGAAATGAGAGGCGAGAAGGTGGAGGGAGGGAGGGCGTGGGGTAGGAAAGACCCCCTGTCCTTTTCCATCTGTGGCGCTCACATCCTCACCTCCCCTGCTGGGTGGGGTGCTGAAGCGTGGGAGCGGCGGGTAGGCCCTGGCCATGCTTCCTCTTGGCATGGGCTTCGGCAGCCCCACCCCCTCTGTGCCCGCTGCCCTGGCCTCAGCTGCCCGGCAGAGGAAGCCAGCTTGCTCTGACCCTCCGCGTGGCTGCTGACCACTTCGGGACTGCCCTCCTCCCCTGCCCCCAAATCCAAGCCTGAGCCTCCCTCCCCCAGGAATCCCCCAACCCAGGCCTCAAGTCAGTGCCCCCCCCCGCCAGACCAATTCCACATCCCTTACCCCAGACAGTTCTCCAACCCCTCCTTTCCGGTTAAGCAACTCTGTTCTGTCCCCAATCCACGGGTCCTGACCCTTGTCCTCCATCTGCCGCACCACTGCCCGGAGCCGGGCTGGAATGTGCCCAGAGCCTGTGTGGACCTGTCCTGGCCCCACCTGTCGTCTTCTTCCCCGTTCACACTAGCCTCTGTCAGGCCCACTTCCCACAAAGACGCTCTAAGCCTCATTCTTCAGACCCAGGAGCCTGGCCGCCCAGCCCCTCCCCTGGGACCTAGGAGTCCAGGCTACCGTGCACCTACTTCTCCATTATGTCTCAGACTAAACAGCAGGCAGACTGCGGGGAGGTTGGGAATGATGGACAAGGGGAGGGGCCGGGTGGTTTCCATCCCCCTCCACCCCCCCTTCACCCCCCCCACCAGTTTCTTCTGCTCTCTGCCCTTTGCAGCCAAGGCACTAGGTAAACGTTAGACTTTAGATAAGGACCAAGGAGCCTCCGCCTACTAGAAGTTAGTTTTTCTCCCTACCCTCCCTTCACTGACCCTGAGGCTCTCTCCTCTAATGGACTCTTGGGAGACTGGAAGATCTGATCTGCCACCCCCTGGCCTCCAGGGGTCCTGGACCTCCAGCTGTCCAACTGCAAACCTTCAAAGACTGAGACACTGCAACCCCTTTCCCTTCCTTTTGCAGAGAGAGCCCTGATATTTACCTCCCTAGAGCCCTAAGAGTCCAGGCCCCCAGCCCCTCCTCCCTCAGACCCAGGGTCTCAGCCCCCAGCCCCTCCTCCCTCAGACCCAGGGCCTCAGCCCCCAGCCCCTCCTCCCCCAGCCCCAGCCTCCCCTGGCCCAGGATAAGAGCCCCACTCACCGGGCACCCTCCGAACCATAACATCTCCGCGTGCAGCACCATGAGTCCGATGCCAGTTCCCGCCAGTGCCAGTGCCCAGCCAGCCAGCCACTTCTCCTGCTCCAGCAGCCGCTTTCGCCGCTGTAGGGCCCCCAGGCCTGGCACCAGCTCCCCGCCCATGGCCCCTGCGGTCTTGGGGCTCAGCCAGCTTCCTGCCCAGGGTCCCCCACCTCGCAGCACACAAAGGGCAGCCACTGTGGCTTGCAGGTCCTCAGCCTGCTCTGCTCCTTGCTCTGGGGCTCTTGCTTTGAGGCACGGAGGGAGTCTATGCCCTCTGGGGGTGGTGACGGCTGGGCAGGGCGGGGAGGGGCTGGCGTGGCCCTTGGGCAGAGGGGAGGCTCCCCAACCTCCCTTCTCAGTCTAAGGAGGGACTGGGGTGTGTCTTGGGGCAGAGCAAGGAAGAGGCGTGCATCCACGTGGATAAAGACACATACTACTGGGACACAATAGGTTTTGTCACACACAACGGTCTGCGCCGTGTAATACACACCTACACTCGGCCACACCCAGACACCACAAGACACCGGGTGATCAACCCTCACACACACATGGCCGGAGATGGAGCCTACCACACATGGGCACACAACACAAGCTACACTGAGTGACTCACAACCCCCAATGAGCTCTGAAACCCACAGCCACACCCAGACACCACACATATGGTGTGGCACACACCGGTGCTCAGCGAGGCAGGCTCTGCCCCGTGTGGCACGTGACCACCCAAATATTGTCCACACACAGGCACAAACATGGCAATCAAAACTGATACAACATCCTCCGACACAGAGCCACAGCCAGACCCCGCACACGGTGCCCAGCGATAGCTACATCAGCATGACACACACTGTCTTCCCACAGACACACAACGTATATTGACTCAGTGACACCCAGACACCACACTCAACACATCTGTGTAAGCGATGGGCTGATAACAGCATCCCAACATCATATGCCCGTGCAGTGACACCTGGCGTGTGCAGACACACCACATACATTCAGGGACACGCCATGGCCATCCCCAAGCACCCAGCACAGAGAGAAATGCACGTCCACCCGCATCGTGGTGCGCGGCAACTCGGGGACACATGCTCACAGAGCGATTTGCAGCACAGATACACGACCGCAACACACAGTGCACCCCAGGGCGCAATGCCATTCAGGTGCATAGTCAGCACACCTGAATGGACCCATGGAGAGACATGCACTGCACAGCGACACGTAGAAAAGACCCCAAACTGCACATGCCCAGAGTAAGACACAGCGACACGTAGAAAAGCCCCCAAATTGCACATGCCCAGAGTAAGACATGGGATGCCATAGAAGACAGGACCCAGAACGGTGCCTGGGGGGGAGGCCCATGCAGCCGGGGTGCAGGCGCCACAGACCCTGCTGCCGAAATGTGACACGCAGTGTGGAGCATGCGGGACATGACCGCCACGCCACACCCAAGCTGCACCCACACCGCCTGGCGCATGATCCACTCCAACACGCACGGTTACACAAACACGAACTACACAGAGCCCTATCGAGCACAGGATGACACGCAACACATCGACACAGCGTTTCCGGTACAACGGGACACTGTGCGTCGCAACAAAACCTCAGATGTGGCCCCTGGCACAGCCAACACCCAGGCCCACAACAACAGCACACACAACACCGGGGCAACGCTCTCCGGTGCAACACAATACACAGCCACGCAAACACAATGCATGCCACTCGTGGGCACCCAGGCCATGTTCGTGCAGGAAAAGGAAAGGCCCCCGCAATGGACATAGCTAGACACAACACACAGGCTCACATCTCTGAATGACGGCTCACCTTGACACACACAAGCCCCGGAAAGAGACACACCGCACAGCGACACACAGAGCAGCACGTGCGAGCAGATTGACCCACAGTGCAGAATGTCACCGCACCAGCAGCACAGAGATAACACACGGGTCTGGATACAGCGCATCTGGACACAGGCCGAGACTGTCCTCCCGCCACGTGCAGGGCACAACGGCACACTACCACGGCACACCTTGCACACGCTGACCTCCGAGTCACAGCCCGCGTCCACGGGGAACTCGCAGACAGAAGCCCTCTCCTTCCCGTGTCATATGTCATGCGGACACACGGACCTGCCAGCCACAGGGAGAGTCGAGACGCTCACGCACAGACACGTCTGGCGATCCACCAACACAACCCACACAGACACACCCAGAGACGCCAACCGCACACACAGACACACCCGGTGACAAAAACACAGCCCATGCTGGTGCCACGCCTGCTCCCTGGCACACGTGTGATTCCCACTCGGGGTGAGGCATGGCGGGAGAGTGATGGGGACGCACCCAGGCACACCCAGACACCACGCGCATGCCCTAGGGGAGAAAACGGTGCCACTGGGCACCCTTGAGGCTGCATCCTAAGCGCCCCTGCTAGCCACCACCCCTGTGGGCTGGCCCCCATCTCTCTGCACCCCTTCTCCTCCCTCTCTGGTTCTTGGGTCTCACCTCGGACTCCTGCTTCACCCTCTCCTGCTCTGGAAGCGTCTGGGTCCTGCGTTGTCGTGGTCTCTGCCCTTTCCCTGTCTGTTATTCTCTCCTCTATGTCTTTATCTCTATCTCTTCTGGCTCTGGCTCTAAGTATCTCTGACTCTCTCAGTTCCTTTGTTTCCATTTCTCTGGCTCTGTGTCTCTTTGTGTCCCTGTGTTTCTCTTAGCATCTCTGTCTAGGTCTCCATCTTTATGTCCCTTGTGTTTTTCTATTTCATTCTTTCTCCCTGTCATTGTCTCTCTGTCTCCATCTCTGTGCTCTCTCTCTGTGTAGGGGTCCGTGTCCCTGTCTCTTGCTGACCCTAGGTCTCTCTGTCTCTGTCTGTGACTCAGTTTCTCTGTCTCACTGTCTGTCTCCCTGCCTCCAGAACTCCCTTTGGGCTTCTCTCTGTCTCTCTGTCTCTGACTTTGCCTCTCTCTCTGGGCCTTTCCATGCTTGTCTGTGCCTCAGTTGGTCTCTTCTGTCCACCAGCACAGCTGGGGGGCAGCCTTGCCCTATCTAGTTCCCCCCAGCCCCACTCGGGGGCAAGACGCCAGAGGCAGAAGCCGTGGCTGCCCTAGTCAGAGGCCACGGAAACGAGACCTCCAGCCCCAGCCCCTGCACAGCCGTTCCTCAGTGCAGACCCTAGTGAACACTGATGGGGTGGGGGGGACAATCCAAGAGAGGGAGAGCGATGGAGGGGGGGGAGGATTTGAAAAAAAAACAAAGAGATGGAGAGAGGAGATGTGGTGGTGAAGGGGAAGCAGAAGCCGGGATCGGGACATGGAAGTTAGAACAGACAGAAGTTTTGTCTCCAAAGAGATCAACTAACAGAGAAAAACGGAGCAAAGGCTGGCATGGGAGAGGCCAGGGTGGGCAGCAACGGGGTCACAGTGGGAAAGGCACTTGCCTCCAAACGGAAGTTCTGGGATGTGGGGGTCAGTCGGTAGGACACACCGCTCCAGAGCCAGCTCCCTCCAGCCCAGGGAGGGGCTGAGCCGGGGGGTGGGGGTGACTCAGGGCCCCAGAGCTTCCTGTGACTCAGCCCTTGGTCCCAACCCTGAAGGGGGGAGCGGAGAGGGAGAGGGGTCTCTGTAAAAGAGAGGGAGGAGGGTTACCAGAGACCTCTTTGCCTAGGTTGTCCACCTCAGAGGAGGGGGTGGGGCTACTGATTGGGACTTTGAGGGGAGGAGGGGGCTGGGGGCCTGGACCCTTGGGTCTGAGGGAAGAGGGGGCTGGGGGCCTGGACTCTGGGCCTGAGGGAGGAGGGTCTGGGGGCCTGGGCCCCTGGGTCTGAGGGAGGAGGGGCTGGGGGCCTGGACCCCTGGGTCTGAGGGAGGAGGGGCTAGGGGCCTGGACCCCTGGGTCTGAGGGAGGAGGGGCTGGGGGTCCTGGACTCTGGGTCTGAGGGAGGAGGGGACTGGGGGCCATGGACTCTGGGTCTGAGGGAGGAGGAGCTGGGGGCCTGGACTCCCGGGTCTGAGGGAGGAGGGGCTGGGGGTCCTGGACTCTGGGTCTGAGGGAGGAGGGGACTGGGGGCCCTGGACTCCCGGTTCTGAGGGAGGAGGGGTACAGGGCTGGACTCTGGGTCTGAGGGAGGAGGGGCTGGGGGCCTGGACCCCTGGGTCTGAGGGAGGAGGGGCTGGGGGTCTGGATCCTGGGTCTGAGGGAGGAGGGGCTGGGGGCCTGGACTGGGGTGTGAGGGAGGAAGGGGTTGGATCATATACTCCTGGTCCAGGAAGGCTAGAAGAACTGATTCCAGAGTCCCTGGGACTTTTCCTTGGCCCTGTCCCAGCTGCCCCACCTTCATCCCAGCCCCATCTCCGGGCCTGGAAAGGACCCAGGTGCCTTGGGGCCCAGCCGGAAGGGGCTAAGGACAAAGGGTTGTTTAACTGGGCAGGGTGGTGGAGGGGAGTGAAGAAGAGGGTGTCTCAGGCGGAAAGGTCACTCGTCGCCCCGGGCTTGTGCAGGGGAAGGCGGGGCTGGGCCGGGAGGAAGACATCCTTCATGAAAGTCAGAGGCTTGTGGAGGCAAAGCCTCCGGGGTTGTTCTTTTTGAACTGGCCGTTTGGAGGCTTCAGGGCGTGGGATACTGCCACCTGGTGGTGGCTTTGGGAACCGCAAGCATCTACTTGACTAGTTTCCTGTCAGCATATATTGAGCACCTACTGAGTGCCTCTAAGTGTTGAAGGTGAAGTAAACACAAAAAAGACAAGGGGCGCCTGGGTGGCTCAGTTGGTTAAGCGTTCTGCTCTTGATATTGGCTCAGGTCATGATCTCACGGTTTATGAGTTTGAGCCCTGCCTTGGACTCAGGTGACTTGGCAAAGCCTGCTTGGAATTCTCTCTCTCCTTTCTCTCTGCTCCTCCCCCCTCCCCACCCCACCCCCGTTAAGAAAAACAGGCACAATTCCTGCCCTCATGTTACTTCCAGGCTAAAGAAAGTTTTGTGGCTCTGTTAACCTCTCTCTCACTGTGTTTCTCTGACTCTTTGCTTCTCTCTCTCTCTGTCTCACTGGCCTTGCTTCTTTAGTTTCTATCTCTTGGTCTTTGTCTCCAAGTGCATGCTTTTTTCTTTTCTCCTGATTCTTTCTCTCTGTTTTTGTTTATTTTATCCCTTATATATCTCTGTTCCCAACCAACTAAAAATTATGTTAAATTATATATAAATTAATTATAAATATTATATAATTAGATAATTATATCTCACCATCTGGGAGTTCACAGGCTTTGGTTCAAACCTGTGGCCATGGCCACTATTTTTGTGTGGAATATAACATGTATACAGCCTGGGTTAGTGACAGACCTGCATTCACGTCTGTCTATCTCTGCTGTCCTTAGCTGTGTGTCCTATAAAATGAGGATGATACCCATGTTACAGGCTTGCTTGAGAATTAGGTGAATATCCAGAGTCCTCAACACAGGATCTGATAGATGTTAAGCACCTGGGGTACATCATCTCTAAAGTTAGCTGCCAATATTTCCTCCTCCCTGTGCTGCCATGTGGTTTCAATCTGGCTGGCTTGTGACTTGTTTGTTGCAGAGATGATGCTGGGCCAACTTGAGGTCCAGTTGTTTCGAGAACTAGAAGCCTCTGCTTTTGTTCTCTTAGAACTCTAAGTCAACCATACTGTGAGGAAGCTTCCGGAGAGGCCATGCAGAAGAGAATCAAGGCAGCCTGGCCAATAGCCCCAGTCTAGCCCCAAGTGAATGCCTTGAGTACAGCTGCATGAGTGACCTCTGGAGGGACAAGCAGCGATTTGTTACACAATAATAACAATAAATTTCATTCTCTTCTATTCAGTTTCAGGTTTGAAGTTTTCCATAATAAAAAAAATATATGTATATGTATGAATATGTATATAGTTGACCCTTGAAGAATGAGGAGTTAGAGGTGTGCCCCCCACACACACAGTTGAAAAATCCACATATAACTTTTGACTCCCCCCAAACTTTTTTTTTTTTTTTTTTTATTTCTAGGAGAGAGAGAGAGAGAGCGCGTGAGCAGAGGAGGGTCAGAGAGAGAGGGTGTCACAGACTGAAACAGGCTCCAGGCTCTGAGCTGGCAGTCAGCACAGAGCCCGATGCGGGGCTCGAACCCACGAACCGCGAGATCATGACCTAAGCGAAAGTCGGACGCTTAACCGACTAAGCCACCCAGGCGCCCCTGACTCCCCCCAAACTTAATTACTAATTGCCTATTGTTGACTGGAAGCATTATAGATAACATAAGCAGCTGATTAACACATATTTTGTATGTTATATGTATTATATACTGTGTTCTTACAATAAAATAAGCTAGAGAAAAGAAGATGTTAAGAAAATCATGAGGAAGGGGCGCCTGGGTGGCTTAGTTGGTTAAGCATCCAACTTTCGCTTAGGTCATGATCTCGCGGTTCGTGGGTTCGAGCCCTTCGTCGGGCTCTGTGCTGTCTGCCAGTTCAGAGCCTGGAGCCTGTTTTAGAGTCTGTGACTCCCTCTCTCTCTGACCCTCCCCTGCTCATGCTGTCTCTCTCTCTCTCTCTCCTAGAAATAAATTTAAAAAAAAATCATGAGGAAGAAAAGATACACTTATAGTACTATACTGTATTTCTTGAAAAAAAATCTGTGTATAAGTGAGTCTGCACAGGTCAAACCCGTGTTGTTTAAGGATCAACTGTGTGTGTATATATATAAAATGGGATAGATAATGGAAATTGTACTTTATAAACTGCAGATAGTATCATTTTGCTTCTCTTTTCACCTCTGGGTCTTTCTTGACTCTTTCAACCTCTATCTTTCATACTTTTTTTCCTTTCTCTCTTTCTGCATGTTTATTCCTATCTTGCCAACACTCTTCTTGCCACTTTCCCTTCCATTTACTTTGCTCTACTACGTTGGCCATCCTGCTGATCCTCAAACCTGCCAAGCTCTTTCCTGTCTCAGGGTCTTGGCACTTGTTTGTCCCTCTGCCTGAGTGCTTTACCCTCCAATCTCCTCATGAATCATTCTCTCACTTCATTCAGTAGTTTGCTCAAATGTAGTCTCTTCCTTGACCACCTCTTCAAAAATGGTCCCCTCCTGATCCATAAAGAATCCTGTATCCTATTTACTTGCTGTGTCTTCATGGCACTTAGGACCCATCTAAATAATCCTGTTTTCTTATTTGACTAATTGTTTAGGACAGGGATCTTGCCATCCCCAGTGTTCAGAGCAATGCCTGGCAATAAGAGATGCTCAATGGATATTTGTGAAGGAATACTCTTATTCAATGGTACTGACTGGCTCTCCTTCAACCCAACCCTCTTACCTGTTCCACACCGTCCTGGAGGTGAGAAGGACGTCATTTCTTCATTTCCAAGTCCTGGGTCTTCCCTCCCCCTCCCCCGTTACTTGAGTTGCTGTCTGTGGTTCTGAGACCCAATGCTATGGATCTGTCCTTGGTGCTGATTAGGGCTCTCACTTCCATTCTGCAGGGACAGGTCAGAGGAATCTTGGGAAAGGAGTGATGTGTGTTTGGTCGATCTGGGCACTGAAACATCTGGGTCACTGAGAGAAGGCAGGTATCTGAGTTCCCAAGGGAGAGAGTGCCTGGGTCACTGCGAGTTCACTAGGTTTTTGTCCTAACTATTTATCTGCTTATCAATTCATGTGTACGTACATTCATATATATACTTTTTACTTTAGAAAATTCCCAAACATACAGAAGTGAAAAGAAGAGTATAATAAACTGCCGTGTACCCACTGAACAACTACCAGCTCATGGCTAATTGCATTTCACCTGTGCCTCCGCCCACTTCCTCACTTCCTCTATTATTTTAATGCAAATCCCAGACATGATATCATTTAATTATATGTCGTATTTTAAATTTTGTTTCTTTTCATTGAGGTATGGCTTATACGTTGTAAGGTTTGCAAATCTTAAGTATACAGGTTGATGCAACTCTACCTGTCTATAGATGTGCGACCACCACCTTGATCAAGCCATAGGGCACCTCCACTGTCACACCAGGTTCTTGTGTACTCTCACCCAGCTGATACACCAGGGACAGCCACTATTCTGACCTCCACCACCAAAGATCAAAAAGCCACAATATGGGTTCTCGAGACGCTGCACTGCGACCCCGCACTCTGCGAACATGGCGCTACGAGCGGGAGCGTGCGGGCCGCGGCCTGCAGCCTGCGCGCCGCCTCCGCTCCCGCCGCGCCCTGCCTGCCGCGGCCCTGGGGGCTGAGGGCGGGCCCCGTCCGGACGCTGCGCACGGGCTCCGCTCTGCTGTCTGTGCGTAAATTCACAGACAAACATGAATGGATAACAACAGAAAATGGTATTGGAACCGTTGGAATCAGCAATTTTGCACAGGAAGCTTTGGGAGATGTTGTTTACTGTAGTCTGCCTGAAGTTGGGACAAAATTGAACAAACAAGAGGAGTTTGGTGCTTTGGAAAGTGTGAAAGCTGCTAGTGAACTTTATTCTCCTTTATCAGGAGAAGTAACTGAAATTAATGAGGCTCTTGCAAAAAATCCAGGACTTGTCAACAAATCTTGTTATGAAGATGGTTGGCTGATCAAGATCACACTCAGTAATCCTTCAGAACTGGATGAATTAATGAGTGAAGAAGAATATGAGAAATACATAAAATCTATTGAGGAGTGAAATTGGAACCCCTAAGAAACCAGTATGAAACAACTTAATGTAGCATAGTTGTCTTAAATTAGTGGTACATAGAGGATTTAAAATAGCAACTTTTAGCAATACCAATGCAAAAAGAAACTACTTAAGACAATTTTAATGAAAGAAAACACCCTTAACTTTCTAATGATTGCAGATAAAAATATGTATTCTTTTTTGAAACATCCTATGATTTTTACGCTAGGCTCCAGTTAAAATACTCACAATCCTGAAATTATCTGTGGTTAAAAAAAACTAGTTATAAAAATTATGTAATTAAAGGATAATACTGTCATCTTAAGCCTTTGGGAATTGTAACTTGCTTACATCTATCCCTGGATTGGGGTTAAAATACTTAAATGATCTGTCCACTGAAAATAACTGGCAGTGGGGAAAGGTTTGTGAGTTGTATAGTGCCAGATTAAGAACAATACTATCTTAATTTTGTAATATACTGTGCTTGCTGGTGCTATTTTTATTTGGTGAAGCAACAGCCTTGCAGAAAGATAAAAAGTTTAATAATAAAACATTCAATTTCGTTAATCAAAAAAAAAACACACACAAAAAAAAACAAAAAGCCACAATATGGAAGGCCAAATACCTGGGCTGTAGCCTTAACTTTGCTGTTGGCATTATTTTTTTTTTATATATGAAAATACCGTATGTGCAGACAGTACATAACATTCAGAGGTATATTTTGGACAAATAATTATATTGTGAACCCCCACGAAATCACCATGGACTCTCAGAGAGGACATTGCGGTGCATTCCTTTATGATAACATTCCCTTCCCAGTGTCCAGAGGAAACCACCCTCCCTACTTATAAGGAACTTTGCTCCTCTTAATCCACAGCCCTCACGCACTGTGCTTTCTTAGTCTCTCCTCCCTCCAACCCTTCAACACTAACTGGCCCCTGGCCCTAGAGACCGAGAATGAGAGACCAGCCTCCTTCCTCATCTCCCTGCCTCTCCTGGTCTGTCTCTTGCATGGTCACAGGGAGAGCTTCCCATCACCGGACTTCCTCCATGCCTTTCCCTTGATCTAAGCCCTTCCATGGATCCCCATTGGTTGTAGGCAAAAGTTCAGGAAACTTTATCCTCACCTGATATTTTAGGCCTTCCAGGGACCCTGCCACCCTCTTCATTCTCATTTCCTTCCTCACACTGTATACACGGACCAAGCCTTTATGAATACCTGGAATGCCTTTCCTCCTGCTACTTTGCCAATTCCTATTAGTTATTTAGACGTCTCCTCAGAGATTAATTCCTATCAGCAGCCCTCCCTGGTCTTCCTCTTTGGAGCTCCCTTCAACCCTCATACCTCATGCTTTACCAGTTGTGAGCCTCCAAGGTTTTCACTGTCTCCTTCCAGACCAGGAGGGCAGGGTTGGGTCTGACTCATTGCTGGGTCCCTGGCATCACCCAGCACGGCATAGATTATAAATGTTTGCTGACCCTCCCTTCCTGCAGCTGTCTCTGTGTCTTACTTGCTCCTGCCTTTGTCCTGCTGTCTTCTTGCAATTTAACAAAAATTTCCTGAGGGCTTGGCATGGGCTGGTTTCTCTGTCTGGAATGTTCCGTGCTCTGTCCACACGATGACCTTCTACTCACCCTTCAGGACACTTTCTGTCCTGAAGCTCCATAGCCTCAACCTTCAATCAGAGGCTTCTTTGCCTGCTAGCCCTTCTGGCCCAACCACTCCCCTATATACTGCCCTGGTCTGTCTGGGTTCTATGGCCACCTGGGCTCTAGCTTGTGTCCCCCATCAGATCAAGAACACAAGTGTAGGATTTACCAGGATCACCCAGCACAGAAGAGTGAATTACAAATGTTTGTGGACTCTTTCCTGAGATTACTTCTCCTTCTGTGTCCTCTATCTTTTCATTGGCTAATCCCTCTGCCTGGAATGCTGTTCCTTCCTCTGTCCATATGGCATGCTTTAAGACCTGTCACCAGGTTCTCCTCCCTCTGGCACCAGCTTCAATATATCCCTCTCCAACTCTGTCTCCTTCTGTATGTGCATCCCCCCCACCATAGGCTTGTGGCTGTCTGAGTGTGGATCTGCCTCCCTCGCATCTGACTAGGAGCTCCTCCAGGCCTAGGAGTCACCTCTGTGGCCCCAGCGCCCAGAGCATGGCCAGGAACACAGGATCACAATGAATGATGGGTACCAGTGTGTCTAAATCTAAGTTTGGTAAACTGAGTGCTCTTCCCTTACCATCTTTCAGCTTCATTTCCAAGATCTGTGTCTGAAGCAGTAGTCTGTGTGTAAACGGATACTTAAGAGGATTAAGGCCTCTCCTTTCTTCTCCCACTTTACATACATTCCCTCTCAGGGCTGCAGAATGTCTTCTCCACTGAGTGTTCCGCATAGTGTTGCTTCTGACCAGGGACCTCTCTATACAGTGAATGAAGTGGGGGCAGTGGGCTCATGCTCGTGAATTTCACTGGTCTTACCTCATATCCCATCACCTAAAAGAAACTCACCTGATAAAGCAATGGGAGAACTGAGTTATTGTTGCCCATTGGGAGTCAACACCCTGAAAGGATGGGGCTCTGTCTTACAGGGTCCAGCATTAGCTTTGAGGTAATGACCCTTATACTGTGCTGTCTCCCCCACAGCCTGAGTACGTGGGTCTGGGTATCAAGGGGTGACAAGGGGTCCTCTCACCTGTAACCCACTTGCAGAAGTTTTGCTTCCCGTTCCCATGACCTTGAGCTTTGCTTGTTTGGAGGTCTTGGTTCCCAAGGAAAGAATGCTTTCACTTGAGGACACAGCAGTGGTTCCGGTGAATTGAAGGTGAGACTGCCACCTGCACATTTGGGGCTCCTCTTTCCACTGGACCAACGGGCGTGTCTGGAACCCAAGGCATTCTCCGGAGCACTTCCCAGAGGTTCCATGTCCAATAGTAAAAACAAACAAACAAATAAGTGAAAATAAAATACAAGACCACTAAGGATTTAGACCTCTCAGGAACGAGTGTTTGGGTCACCTCACTAGTTAAAGGACACTCTCAAGCTGAGAGCAAAGGAAGCTTGGAATGAGTAAGGGAAGAAGGAAGTCATATATTACATGTTAACCATGGCTTTGTGACCAATTACAGAAATGTGAATTATAATAGGTATGCATATTTTCTTCTTCACTTGTTTTTCCCTCCTTCTCTTCCTTTCTTCCTTTTTATCTTTTCATCTACCTATCAATCATCTATCTACTAACTGCTTTTAATCTTGCCTCTTATTTCCCTTTATTATTTTATATTCATAGCGATGGTAGTCTTGATGTTCATAAATGAAAATTTTGTCAATAGCATCCATCTCTACTTCTCCACTGCCTTTTCCTTCTCATCAAGACCAGATATTTCTCATGCATTGCTTAACCGACTGAGCCACCCAGGTGCCCCTCTCATGCATTGCAGTTAGGAAATAGCAACGTTAGTTGTTGGGTGAGTAGTAAAAAAAAAGGTTAAAGACCACAGATCAAGATGACAAAGAGAAGTGTGTGAAGAGATAGGCAAAATGAATGATGTGCAAATTTGAGTCCATTTAGTCAGAACCCAGAGAGTAACAATACTAAACATCACTTGGGTAATTCATTACCAGTCAACACAATAGAGACCACATTCCCTGGATTTATTCACTCAGTCACTCCTTTTCATTGAACATGTTACCTAACATGCAAGGGGTTCATGTCCTGAGAATGTTAACTGAAGTCTTCTCTATCCCTTTGCTCCTTAGTTGTAACCAAATAAATAACTTTAAGAAAGGGGTGTGTTTTAGTTTTCTCCGCCCCACCCAATTTGCCATTTATGCACCAAGAATGTGTTTAAAAAAAAATTTTAGGGACACTTGGGTGGTTCAGTCAGTTGAGTATCAACTCTTGATTTCTGCTCAGGTCTTGATCTCAGGGCTGTGGGACTGAGCCCCCCATCAGGCCCTACACTGAGTGTGGAGCCTGCTTGGGAGTCTCTCTCTGTGCCTTTGTCTCTCTTTCTCCCCCCCCCGCCCCCCGCCGCTGTCCCCTACCCGCTCTGTCTCTCTCTAAAATTAAAAATTAAAAGAATATTTATAAAAAACATAAACATTTTATGGAAAATAACATACATATAGAAAGAGCACAGATCATTAGCAAATAGCTAAGTGAATCCTTGAATCAAGAAACACAAGGACCAGGGGCGCCTGGGTGGCTCAGGTGGTTGAGTGTCCAACTTCAGCTGAGGTCATGATCTTGCAGTTGACGACTTCGAGCCCCGTGTCATGCTCTGTGCCGACAGCTCAGAGCCTGATGCCTGCTTCAGATTCTGTGTGTGTGTGTCTCTCTCTCTGCCCTTTCCCCGCTCATGTTCTGTCTCAAAAATAAACATTAAAAAAAAACCACACATGGACCAAGCCCCAGAAATCCTCTTGCCCTGAGAATCTTGACTTATAATTGTATACCTTAGTGTTGCCTACTTTGGAATTTGCATTAATGGAATCATATAGAATGGTCTCTTGTGTGTCTTATCCTTTCACTCAACATTGTTTGCAAGACTCATCCATGGTGTTGCATGCAGGGGCAGACTGTTCATTCTCATTGACGTATAGTGCTCCACTATGTGATGAGGCCACAATTTTTTTTTTAATGTTTTATTTATTCTTGAGGGAGAGAGACAGCATGAGCAGGGGAGGGGCAGAGAGAGACACACACAGAATCCGAGGCAGGCCTCAGGCTCTGAGCTGTCAGCATAGCTGACAGAACCCAACACGGGGCTCAAACTCACAAGCTGTGAGATCATGACCTGAGCCGAAGTCAGACGCTTAACTGACTGAGCCACCCAGGCGCCCCTAATAAGGCCACAATTTATCCGTGCTACTGTTGATAGTTATTTGTGTTGTTTCCAGTTTGTGGTTATTATGAACTGTCTAGCTAGGACCATTCTAGGACATGTCTTTTGGAGGAAATATATAAACTAATGTCTGTTGGGGAAATATACCCAGGTATACCCATATGTTCTGTGTCCCGAGGAAAGGCTCTGTGCAAACAGAAGTCCTTTTAGCTTAAACAGAATCAAACTCAACATGCCCAATCATCCAACTGTTGATTCTGACTCCCTTCCATCTGTCCCTCTTTTTGGTAAATGGCATTGCCATTTTGACCTGTTCTCAGGTCAAAACCTTGGAATCATCTTAAGTCTTTTTTCTCCCCCACACGCATCAGCCAATGTATCAAGTCTTGTCAGCTCTACCAACAAAATCCCTCTCTCATCTAATCTCTCACACTGCCTCTGTGGCTACTCCAATCATTACTCGCTTAGACTTGTGCAGTAGCCACCTCACAGTTCTCAGCTTCCATTCTTGCCACATGGATCTTTTTTAAATGGAAAGCACGTACACGAGAGGACACGCTGTCTGACCGCATCTATATGATGCTCAATATTAAGCAAAATTGATGTATGCTAGAAGTCAGAGTAATGGCTACCTCCCTCAGTAATGGGGAGTGTCTGTGAAGGGCTCTGCGGGAGGCTTTGTAGACAGGGACTGGAAACGTTCTATATCTTGATCTAGTGGAGGTCAGTCAGGGGTGTACACATGGAAAAATGGCACTGTATGCATTTTACTGTATATATTTTATGTTTCAATGAAATGGAATTATACACACTTATAATTATATATGCATATTATAATAGGTACCATTATGTATACGTTGTATAAGATATAATATACCATACATATAATATTATATAATGTATATTTATGTAAAACATAGAAGCCCCCTGATATAAATTCACCAAAGAATTCTGTGTCAGTATGGAATCGACCAGAAAACCTGAACTAGCCAGAGATATGTACTGAGATTTATGGCAAGGGATTGGGTTATGTGATTGTGCAGGCTGGCCAGGCAAGTTCAAAATCCATAAGGCAGGCTGTCGGGAGAGGCAGGCTGGAACTCCTGGGCATGGGCTGAAGATGCTATCTGAGGCAGATTTCTTTTTCAGGCAAGCCTCAGCTCTGCTTCCAAGGACTTTTCAGCTGGATGAACCAAGCCCACTCAGATGACCTTGCATAATCCCCCTTACTCACAGTCCACTGACCACGGACTATAGTCACATCTACAAAATACTTTCGCACTGACACTGAGATCGTGTTTGAATGAATAATGGAGACTGCGGCCTAGCCAGGTGGACACGTCAGACTGACCATCCCAGCTTCAAACCACATTTGCAATAAAACCCAAAGTCTACTTCCTGCACTAGAAAGGCCACTTTCTTGAAGGTTGGGACTCTTTTTTTTTTTATGTTTATTTTTGAGAGAGCACCAGCAGGGGAGGGGCAGAGAGAGAGGGCGCCAGAGGATCTGAAGCAGGCTCTGCACAGAGCCCACAGAGCCCACCACAGGGCTCAATCTCACGAGCAGGGAGATCATGACCTGAGCCAAAGTCGGACACTCAACCGACTGAGCCACCCAGGCGCCCCAGGCAGAGATTCTTCTGCCCGTTCCATTCATTGTTACGTGCTCAGAAACTGGAACAGTGCCTGGCACGTGGCAGGTGCTCAATAAATATGGGGGATGAATGGATATTGACATCCAGCTTCCCCTTCTACGTCAGGATGTGTAGACATCTAGAACCCTTCTCCTCTTGACCTCATAAGAAGGTAGGAGCATCTGTGAGAGGCTTTCCTCTTCACAAGGCTGCCTGTTCAGGAAGCTCGAAGATGCGGGGGTCCATCCTTGCTCTGCCGCTGACTCTGAAAACCACTCTCCCTCACTGTGCCTTGGGCAACTGGTCTCCCAAATAAGGATGCCGCTCCCTTTCTTGTGTGCCTCTCTGGGTTCTGGGGAGGGTCAGGTGGGGAAAGGATGTGGAAAGACATTGTAAAGCAGGTGCACAAGAGGGCGTGCTGTAGGATTCCGTGCGTGTGAAGTTCATGTGTTTACGTAAGTGACTCGCACACCCGTGCTCCTTCCTACCTCCAGATCTTTGTCCAAGCTGCCTCCTCCGCCTAGAATGCCCTTCCTCCTGCTTCTTTTGGCCAAGAACTCTTTATCCCTTTAGGGGTTTGCTTAAGATTCACTTCTTCCAGGAAGTCTTCCCCAATCTCCACAGCTTGGAGAACTTTTCCTGGCTTGGCTTTGCCTCAAGTGTTTTGTTTTTTGGTTTTTTTTTGTCAAATGAATCAACACCTGTGTGCTTGGGAGGTAGAATCGCCTCGTGGCTGATGGGGCCTAGACACACGAGCTCAAGCAAGTGCCTTCACCTCTTATTTGCTCATGGGGATTGTGATAACAGCCCACTCATGTTGGGCTGCTGCTGTTTCCCAGTTTTTCCATGGTCATCTCCTTAGATTCTGACCACAACCACTGCAAAATAGATCTTGTCATTATTGGAGGTTTTATTTTTACCTCTGCCTTATAGGTGAGGAAGGCGCAGAGAAGTCAAGTAACTAGCCCAAGGTCACCTACAGGCTAAAGGGTAGAGCTAGCTCCACAGCTCTGGAGTTAGGAGCTCCAGAGTTTGGGCTCCTAGCTTCTAGGACGTGCTGCCCCTTGAACTTCTCACAGCGACACTAATAAAGACATTGTCGTAGCTCCAAGCTGGCTCCCCAGGGAAAGGACAGGAAAGAAGGTGATGGGGTGCTGGGGCCTGACTGGTGCCCAGTAATGGCTATTCTTAGGATTGCTCTTCATATGGGCCAGGATGTGGTTGTTTCTCCCCACCCTGGGGTGGTGGGGACCTTTCCCAAATTCTTCCAGGCCTGCTGATCAGATAAGGGCAGGGTAGGGGTAGGGAAGGGAGGGAGGGAGAGGGACCGGAGGGCAAACTGTTGTTTGACATCATTTCCCCGTGAGCCACGTTAAGGAGGCTGAAGTGGGCTGAGTAGTGGGCCCGTGCCTGCTCCAGCATCCTGCTCCTGACGAGGCTGGGGGGGCTTCTAAGAGGAGGGCACGAGGGGGCCTCCCAGGGCGCCAGCCAGCAGGGGGACCATGAGGAGCAGGGCCCCGCGGTGGGGCGCCTGGGAAGGGGTGGCGGCGGCCGAGGTGGCGGTGAAGGGCTGGGTCACAGAGTCCCTGTTGCAGAGCTGCCCCTCGCAGCAGGAGCCCTGGAGGTCAATGTTTGTCCAGGGGCTGGAGGTGCCCTTGACGGTGCAGGAGGGCCGGTGGCAGGTTCTGATGTACACAGGGACTGAGAAATTGCCTGGAGGGGAGCAGTGAGGAGGGGTGAGAACTGAGTGAGGCAGCTGCACCTGAACTCACCCCAGAGCCCAGGGCCACGACTGGGTCCTCAGACGTACTTCCGTCTCTCTCCTCAGACTAGGACCCTGCCTCCTCCCTCAGACCAGGGACATGGCTTCTTCCTACAGGCCAGGGCTCTGCCTCCTGTCTTAGACCAGAGCCATGCCTCCTTCCTTGGACCAGGGCCATGTCTCCCTGTCAGGCCTGTCTGGTTCCTCCACCCTCAGGCCTGCTCTGCCTCCACACCCTTTGTCCAGCCTCTGCCCCACTCCGAGCCTCTCACCGACGGTCATTTGGCCATTGCCCTGGAAGCAGACGCTTTGGTCCTGGTGACACTGGACCCGTCGGGACTTTTCGGGGGTGCAGTCCTCCGGGTGGATTCCCAAGCAGGCGTAGCACTCCATGCCGCTGAGAGTTGGTGGGTTGGGTGCTGGCAAGAGAGCATAGACACACACTCAGGTCATGGTTTCCAGGTATGGTTGTGTGGGTTGCGCACTGCACTGGGGGTCCAGCCTAGCCTGACCTGAAGGCCTGAATCCCACTGCCCGGGAGGAGGCGCCCAGTGGAGGTCATGACCCTTCCCTGCCCGGGCGGGGGCCCCTCCCAGCCCACCCTGTGCCCAGCCCCGCCCTCCGGCTCACCCGGGCTCAGATTGGGGATGGCGTCGTGGGTCATGAGGTTGGTGTTGCAAAAGTTGGTCATGCAGCCGCGCACCACCGAGTAGTCAGGCGGCAGCGCGTGATCGTCGGACAGCATCTGGCCCGTAGGCGGGCCTGTCCAGCAGCCCTTCTGTACCATGGTCACCGTGGCACGGTACCCTGGGGACGGGAGGGGACCGGAGTTTGGTGCGCTGCCTCGTCCCAGCCTTCTTCCTCCTCTCCCTCCTCTCCCTCCTCTCGCTCTCACTTCCCGGCTTGGCCTCCGATCTCTCCTCCTCCTGCGCTCTTCTCTTGCACTCACCTCGCCTCTCCCTTTCCTTCCTCTCTCCCTTCAAACTCCACTTCCCCTACTTCCCCCACACCTCCTCCCTTCCGCAACTCTTTGGGGGGGCCCCCTCCCCGCCTTCTCTCCCGAGGTCTCTTCCTACCCCACCTCACGCCCCTCTGCCTCTCAGGGCTTTCTCCCACCCCTTCCTCCTCCTCCCTTCCTCCACCTCCGTTCTTCTCCCCGTCCCCCCAACCCCTTGGCTCTTGCTCTTGTGCCCTCCTCCCTCCCTAATCTCTCATCCCTGTCTCTGCACCCACCCCCTTCTCTCTGTGCCAGCTTCTCCTTTTTCTGCCCTTTCCCCGCCCCTTACCAGTGTCCAGGGACAAGACAGCCTCAGAGCACCCGTGGGGACAGGAGATGTTGTGGAACTTCATGACGCTGAGGTCAAAGGGCCCGAAGTAGGTGTGTTGAAAGCTGTAGCATTGCTGGGCTTGGGACTCTGAGGAGAGAAGCGGGGGTGGGGGTGGGGGAGTGGGGTGTGTGTGAGAGGAGCAGCCTGGGGCTGTGGCTGTTCCCGGAGCCTAGAGCTCTCCCCTGCAAATGACAGTGTCGCCAGCCAGGCTGCTCTGCTCTGAGAGGAGCCAGGCCTCGCTGCCTGGAGAGAACCGAGGTCTGCCACTCTGGTTGCTCATGACTGTGTCTGCCCCTGGGCCTCTGTGCACCTGCCAGTCCTGTTTCCCTCCCCCAGCTGTTCCCGATCTCCACCCTCTTCCAGGAAGCCCTCGAAGATTTAAATAAAGGAGGAAATGATTCACTCCTGCTCTGCTTGTCCCTCTCTCAGCTAAACTCAGGAGGTCCAGGAGCACCTGGGTGGCTCAATCGGTTAAGCGTCTGACTTCGGCTCAGGTTACCATCTCATGGTTCATGGGTTCGAGCCCCACGTCCGGCTCTGTGCTGACAGCTCAGAGCCTGGAGCCCACTTTGCATTCTGTGTCTGCCTCTCCCCGACTCACACTGTCTCTCTCTCTCTCTCTCTCAAAAATAAATAAATATAAAAAATAAATAAACTCAGGAGGTCCAGCAGCACTAAAAGGCCGTGGGTGGGAAACAGACTTGCTAGCAGAGGCGATGGGACGTGCCATCTTGTGCTACAGACACACACACAGCCAGCCCGGGCGATACACTCACAAAACCCCAGAACATGGACAGAAACACAACATAACACAATTGGCACAGGCTCGTGCAAGTCTCACTACCAGACCCAGAATCTCCTGAGCGTCCATGCAGAGTTCTGCGTTCCCATGTGAAACAAGTGCCCCCCCCACGCTCCAGTGGAAGGTCCCCCAACCAAGTCACGTGCAAGATCATACTGACTAAAAGTGTGCGGATACGGAACCAAAAACAACACGCAGAGAGACCCAGGGGCGTGGGAAGTCATACCCAGAGAGAGAGACAAATACGGCCTCAAGCATTATAGACACACAAATAAAATGAGAGACCACAATTATGCGCAGTTAGAGATCCAAAAAAGAGACCCACCAAAACATATGGTTTAAAGCCACAGACAGACACAAGACACAGGAGAGACATGGGGTGTGGATACACAGACAGACACACGTGAAAACGCCCCAGCTCGTGCACACAGAGACAAACGCAGCCCTGCCGATCCCAGCGATGCACAAACATAGGGCAGCACCGACATGCAAAATTATACACACATCTCCTTTACAGAGAGAGTGAAGCTCGGAGGAAACAGACCGATAAACATTTGCTCAAGTGCTTGTTCACGTGTGAGATCCGGTACAGAGAAACACACACGTGCCCAGAGACCCACTGGCCATGCCCACACAGACGCACGCAGAAACCCAACTCTCTTCCGTGGACCAGCAGACACACACACACACACACACACACACACACACACACACACGGTGGCCTGGGTGCAGGCTTGACCTTCCCCCCATCAGCTCCCTTCTTGGGAGCCACTGTGGTCCTGATGGGAGTATGTCTCTGTCCTTACTCAAACCGGGGGAAGAGGTTGCCCCAAGATGAGGCCCAAGCTCTCTGCCAGGTCTAGAAAGAGCCCCCAGGGGTCCCCAGAAGTACCCCTGAATGGGGGTGTGGGCAAGGAGGATGGGAGGCTGCAGCAGTGGAGAGAGAGATGCCAGAGAAAATGACTAATGGGAGAACAGAGGAGAGGAAGACACAGGAGGAGGACATAGTCTCCAGGCCCCTCCTCCCTCAGACCCAGGATCCAGGCCCCCAGCCCCTCCTCCCTCAGACCCAGGGGTCCAGGCCCCCAGCTCCTCATCCCTCAGATCCGGGAGCTCTGCCCCCAGCCCTCCACACCTTCTTAACACTGGGCTCAGAAGTCTGGGTACCTGTCAGGCAGAACGCAGCCCCAAGGAGGCAGAGCAGGATGGCTCTGGGGACGCCCATCGCCCGCGTGTGCAGCTGAGCTGAGACACCGAGGACAGCTCCCCCTGCTCTGATTGCCGTCTGGCTGGTTCTCCCTGCTGAGCCCCAGGCCTCCTGGCTCTCCAGCCCCTGCTTGAGCTTGGGATTCCTCCACCCCCGCCCTTCCTGGCTAGGGCTGGTCTCCACCTAGGTAATCACGACTGGGCCAGGATGAGTCCTTGGTGCTGAGGAAGGAGAGGGATTGGGGTCTGGGTTCCTGGGGGGAAGCGGGAGCTAGGGGCCTATACCCCTTAACTTGGGGGTTTGTGTTTTTCAGGCTCTCTTTCTACCCTGTTGGCCACATTGTGTTCTAATCTGAGGTTGGCACAGATGGCCTCTTGAGTTCTCGTCTCTTTCTCTACCGGGACATTACCTATAGACTCCCGTGTGCGCGCACACACACACAATCTCCCGTGCTGGGGCCCATGTCTCCAGACCCAGAGCCACGTACATCACCTCCTCCTAGAAGCCTCTCCTGACATGGATCTCCCCGACTCATCCAGTCGCCCTCAGTCTCAGGCACCTCCTTGTCTCCCAGCCATCATCACCCTGGGCTAGACGGCTGGCGTCTCCCCTATCAGCTGAGGTCTCCTCAGAGGGCTCAGGGATGTTTGCATTGTTGTATGAACGAACGAATGAATCAATGAGTGTACAGAGAGACAGGCAGGCAGGCAGGCAATTTCCCATGGGATGCAGAAAGACAGTCACACTGAGCGTGGACAGATATAAATGTAGACACCCAGACAAACCCAGACATGAAGAGAGGCACCCCGATGAACAGAACATGCCCTTAATAATTGTTTATTATGTTATTAAAGGAATGAATAAAAAAATTGGAGGAGATAGAGACACAGGCAGACAATCAGAGGGACACGCGATCCCTTGAGGACACAGACAGAGCATGTGGACCAAATAGGGACATCCAGACAGATGCCCCTGCAGGCAGCTGGGGCTGGGACACCTCCTGGCCTGCCTCTCTTCTCCCCCTTGATGGAGCTGCCTGCTGAGACACACCCCTCTCTCTACCATGCAGGGTGGGCACCAGCCCTGTGCAGAGACCAAGAGTCATAGACTCCAGATGGATGGGACAGAGTTGACATAATGGCAGTGACCAGGATGGCCTTACTAGTTTCTTGAGCTTGACTAAATTTTACACAGCTTTCCTCCTGACTACAGGCCCCTGGCCTCCCTTTTCTTAGGGTATTTACATTAGAAAAGTTGGCCTTGCGAATTCTTCTGACTCTCTGAAGTGCGGGTAAATCTTTCCCCAGCCTTTTAGCAGTTTTGAGGTCCCAGAATGTCTTTCTCAGGGACCTGAGACCATCCCTTTGAAAAGTCATCAGAAGATAGCACACACACACACACCCTCCCGCGCCCTCCCCTCCCCCCCTCGGTCTCCCAGACTCTGTATAAGGGAGGGCAGGGGGCAGGAGCTGAACTTGAATAAGCGACAGTTAGCAAACACAGATGACCTCATCACAGAGAAGAACACTTGTAAACTCCGAAATACGCTGTGTGCCAGGCACATCCCGTAGATGACCCCTCTCCCATCGTCCTCTGTCACTGTCCCCCCAGCCCACCCAGTGCTTAGAAACCTTCCCACACTTTGTTTTGGAGTCAAGTTCAGTGTCTCTCTTGTATTGCCATAGTCTTTTATTTTTTTATCTTATTTTTTTGTTTTATTTATTTTTGAGACAGAGACAGAGCACGAGTGGGGGAGGAGCAGAGAGAGAGGGAGATACAGAATCCGAAGCAGGCTCCAGGCTCTGAGCTGGCTGTCAGCACAGAGCCTGACACGGGGCTCAAACCTATGAACTGTGAGATCATGACCTGAGCCAAAGTCGGACGCTTAACCTACTGAGCCACCCAGGTGCCCCTATTGCCATGATCTTGAATGAAGTCTCCCGTGCCTGTTTAACTTTGGTGCACTTTTTCTGTGCCAGTCGGCAGACACCCAGGCACTGTGGACACTCCCCAGATCCTGGACTGTCACGATCGGTCACCCTCGCCCTCCTCCTGCCAAACCACTGCCTCTCCCATTGGCATCACTTCCCCAAACCTGTTTTGCGTCCAAATTGCTCTTCCTGCTGCTCTGGTTCCTGCCCCAGGCTCTCTGTGGGGTGCTGGTCACACAGGGGCAGGCTGGAGCTAAGGGCCCCTGGAGTGTAGAGACTGGCCAAGGAAGGAGGCTGGGTTTTCTGAAACCCCTTGGAAGGTAGAGCCTTAGGAGGTGTTCACCATGGTTCACAGTTTCAGAGATTTGAGGCTTAAAGAATCATCAGACCAGCCCATTTTGTGTGTAAGTATGTGTCTGCAGTGTATGTATGTGAGTGTGTGTGTGTGTGTGTCTGTCTGTCTGTCTGTGAGAGAGAGAGAGTAAATGACTGTGTGAGTGTGTGACTGTGCGTATGTGATTTTGATTCTGGTAACCTTTAGGTACCTTTGGAGGCTGTGAAATATTAGGTGGGAAGCTCTCCATTGTGGGAGGCAATCAAGTGGAGACTGGAGATCTAGCTCTAGGGATTTGGGCAAGGTTCTTATATCCACAGGGGACTATCCAACATGAACTCTGAGCTCCCTGTGAACCCAGAGATTCTTTTTTCCCCCCAGTAATTAAACTTTAGTAACCAGACAATTAATTATTTAAGAGATTGGGGGAAAACTGAGGATGTTTGGTGGTAGCCACGAAGATACTATTTTAAAAACTTTTTACTATTAGAAAAATTTAAACACAGGGACACCTGGGTGGGTCAGTCGGTTAAGCGTCCGACTTTGGCTCAGGTCATGATCTCGCAGTTTGTGAGTTCGAGCCCCACATTGGGCTCTGTGGTGACAGCTCAGAACCTGAAGCCTGCTTCAGATTTTGTCTCCCCCTCTCTCTGCCCCTCCCATGCTCATGCTCTGTCTCTCTCTGTCTCTCAATAATAAATAAAAATGTTTAAAAAAGTTTTTTAAAGAAATTTTTAAACACACACAACCCTCCAGAGGATAGCATGCTCACCACCAAGCCTCAACAGTTTTTAACATATCACTGGTCTTGTGTTACCCTTTCTTTCTTTGGTGCTGGTTAGGGCATTGATTTGGATTCCTGCATTATTTTGCACAAAATATTAATTACACTTAAAACACCATATAAGAGTAGATGACTTTCTTTTTTTCTTTTTAGTGTTTATTTAATTTTGGGACAGAGAGAGAGAGCATGAGTGGGGGAGGGTCAGAGAGAGAAGGGAGATACAGAATCTGAAGCAGGCTCCAGGCTCTGAGCTGTCAGCACAGAGCCCAATTCGTGGCTTGAACCCATGAACTGGGGAATCATGACCTGAGCCAAAGTTGGCCATCCAACCAATTGAGCCACCCAAGTGCCCCAAGAGTAGATGATTTTCAGTGTACCTTTGGGTTCTGTTTCAGGTTGCGAATCTTTATGAATGTCATGAACAATTCCTAAAAGGCTGTTGTTCGCTACCTTGAACTGAATTCCTAATGCAATGACGCCGCCAAATCAATTTTCTCTTTGCGTACTGAACAGTTTCAAATTTATTTTCTTTTTTTTTTTAAATGTTTTTTTATTTATTTCTAGGAGAGAGAGAGAGAGAGAGAGCGTGAGCAGGGGAGGGTCAGAGAGAGAAGGAGTCACAGACTGAAACAGGCTCCAGGCTCTGAGCTGGCAGTCAGCACAGAGCCCAACACGGGGCTCGAACCCACGGAACCGCGAGATCATGACCTAAGCGAAAGTTGGACGCTTAACCAAGCCACCCAGGCGCCCCTCAAGTTTATTTTCAATAAATTTGTATTTATAAATTTATTTATATAAATATAATGAATATATTAAATATAATGTATTTATATTTATAAATTATAAATGTATTTATAAATATATACAATGTTTATATATAAAAATAATATATAAATAAATATAATGTATTTATAAATTATAAATTATAAAAATATAATGAATATAATAAATATAAATTTCAGTATATTCCCACGTTTATTAGAGGCTGAAAAGTAGTTGTAGAGTGCTTGAATGATATTTAAAAATTCACTACTTTGGGGCATGTCCCTGGCTCCGTTGGTAGAGCACGGGACTCTTGATCTCGGGGTTGTGAGTTTGAGCCCCATGTTGGGTTAGAGATTACTTAAAAGATAAAATCTTAGGGGGCGCCTGGGTGGCTTAGTTGGTTGAGCTTCCGACTTTCGCTTGGGTCATGATCTCGCGGTTCGTGGGTTCGAGCCCCGCGTCGGGCTCTGTGCTGACTGCCAGCTCGGAGCCTGGAGCCTGTTTCAGAGTCTGTGACTCCCTCTCTCTCTGACCCTCCCCTGCTCATGCTGTCTCTCTCCTAGAAATAAATAAAACATTTAAAAAAAAAAAAAAGATAAAATCTTAGGAGTCCCAAGGTGGCTCAGTCGGTTGAGTGTCCACTCTTGATTTCGACTCAGGTTATGATCTTACGGTTCGTGAGATGGAGCCCTGCGTTGGGCTTTGTGGGCACAGTGCCAAGCCTGCTTGGGATTCTCTCTCTCTCTCTCTCTCTCTCTCTCTCTCTCTCCTCTGCTCTCACTCTCTCTCTCTCAAAAAATAAATAAGTAAGCTTAAAAAATAAATAAAATCCTTAGAAAATTCCATAGTATAGAAGAAATTTTGGGGGTGCCTGGGTGACTCAGTCAGTTGAGCATCTGAAAGAGGAAGAAATTTTTGCTGCATTATTTATTGTCCAGCTGGATTTGTCCCTCTAAGGAGAGAGAAAGGAGGCAAGACAGGAGGTGTTCTAGAGTCTCAGCCCCAGCTCTAGATGTCTACTACAGCATCTGTCTGGATGTCCTCAACTACCTAGTGTTTGAGTGTTCTCAGGTTCTGTTGAATACCTTAGACTGTTTTCAAGGATCTTCTATTGTATTCCATAAGTTTCTATGCACTTTTCCTTTCCGTGCACCTTTCCATTTCCGTGCAAGTATGCAAATATCTGGCCTCTCAAATGATGTCCCTCCCTCAATTTGGTTTCTGTAAGCAGTTTATTTTTTTTTTAATTTTTTGTAATGTTTTATTTATTTCTGAGAGAGAGATAGGGACAGGATGAGTAGGGGAGGGTCAGAGAGAGAGAGGGAGACACAGAATCCGAAGACAGGCTCTGAGCTAGCTGTCAGCACAGAGCCCGATGCGGGGCTCAAACCCACAAACCACGAGACCATGACCTGAGCCAAAGTCAGATGCTTTACCGACTGAGCCACCCAGGCACCCCTCTGTAAGCAGTTTTGTAAATGTGCCATCATCTGTCTCCCCAATGTTGAACAAAATTCCCTGATGTTTCTACATATAGGAATTGGGGCAGTCTGGAAATCTGCTCATCTACCAACAATTACTATCTAATTTGTTAACTACAAGCAGGCTTTGTCAGCAAAATAACTGAGAAACACTTAGGATTCCTCACCTTATTCAAAATGATTTCATTAGTCAGACATGCTGTGATTGTAATGATTTTTTAAGTGTCATCACCTCGATAACGTGTAACACCACATGTGACCAATCTTTATGTTCTGCATAAATGTTTTTTTCCATAAGTGGTCAGAATTGTGGAGGTTTGCCCTGGAGCCCGCATCGCTGCTTTGCCAAAAATGGACCCATGTACGTTGTGTGCCGATATTTTCTTTTATTTTCACGGAGACGCTGCCTGCAGCATCAATATATAGTTTCTTCGTATCCGATCTTATTTATTTTTTTAATTTTTTACAGCTCAGCAGTGTTAAGTATAGTTATTCATGGGGATGTGCCACCGATCTCCTGGGCTTCTCATCTTGCAAAACTGAAACTCTAGACCTTATCATAGGAACCACTTTGGTCCTGATATGAGTATGTCCCATATTAGTTTGTCCCTAAGTTGGGGGAAGGAATTGCCTGAGGATTGCCACGTTAAGTGCACAGTACAGTATGGTCAACTACAGGCACAGGGTCGTGGAGCAGAACTTACTCGTCCTCCTTTAGGATGAGATGAAACTATACCTGTTGAATAGCATCTCCCCCAACCCCCTCCCCTCAGCAACCACTATTCTACTTTGTTCCTAGGAATTAATTTGAATAGAAATTCAATACCTCCATCTGAGTGGACTCACATAGTATTTGTCTTTTTATGACTGGCTTATTTCACTTAGCATAATGTTTTCAGGGTTCATCCATGTTGTAGCATGCATCAGAATTCCTTTCCTTTTTAAGGTTGAATAACATTCCATTGGTTTTTTTTAATGTTTATTTACTTATTTAAATGTTTATTTATTTTTGAAAGAGAGACACAGAGTAAGTGGGGGAGGGGCAGAGACAGGAGACAAAGAATCTGAAGCAGGCTCCAGGCTCTGAGCTGTCCGCACAGAGCCTGATGCGGGGCTCGAACTCACAAACTTCAAGATCATGACCTGAGCTGAAGTTGGATGCTTAATGGACTGAGCCACCCAGGCATCCCGAATAACATTCCATTGTATGTATAAACCACGTTCTGTTCCCACATGCATCTGTCCACGTACCCACAAATTGTTTCAACCTCTTGGCTATCATTGTGAATAATCCTGCCGTGAACATAGGCGTACAAATGTCTGTTACGGACCCTACTTTGAACTCTGTTGGGTATATAATAAATCAGATCATAACTTTGAATAATGCGCAGTATTGTGCCCTCGCCTTCAGAGTTCCAAGTATGTGATCCATGTTGCCAATCTTTGCATGGCTGTTTGGGAGACAAGACTCTGAGGCAGAGGTCAGTGCTCAGGACCTTGGGACCAACAATTGTGGAAGGGAGGTGAAGGAGGCAGGGCCGGGGAGAGGGAGAAGCTGAGCTGTGATGTGTTCTCAACAAGGACTAGGTCCACCCCAGGGGAAATTCTCCATAGGTGAGGGAATCCTTGTGGGGACAGCGGCTGAGAGAGGCGAGGCCCTCGTTCCCAAACAGGACTTAGTGGCAAATCATAGGACTCATCACACTCTCAACTCGTTCTCTTTTTTAAGTGTATTTTTTCCATCTCCAGGGAAACAAAGATTCATCAGAGGATCCTTTGAGATGAAATAAGGGGATCTGAATCTGATCATTTATTCCCTAGTTGGAAGAATTCGTGTGAAATGTTGTTTCAGTCTACCACTCTGACTTTTAAAAGTTAAAATTTCTGACGCGCCTGGGTGGCTCAGTCGGTTAAGTTTCCGTCTTCGGCTCAGGTCATGATCTCACGGTTTGTGGGTTCAAGCCCCGCGTCGGGCTCTGTGCTGACAGCTAGCTCAGAGCCTGGAGCCTCTTTCAGATTCTGTGTCTCCCTCTCTCTCTGACCCTCCCCTGCTTACGCTGTCTCTCTCTCTCTCTCAGAAATAAATAAAAAACATTAAAAAAAATTTTTTAAAGTTACAATTTCTTACTTAAAGTGAATAATTTTAAATTTTTTATTTTATTTTTTTAAGTTTACACATTTATTTTGAGGAGAGAGAGTGAGAGAAAGGGGGAGAGAGGGAAAGAGAAAATCCCATGTGGGGCTCGAACTCACAAACCGTGAGATCATAGCCTGAGCCGAGATCAAGAATCAGATGCTGAACTAACTGAGCCACCCAGGCATCCCTTAAAATGAATAATTTTTAAGAGCTTAAGTGTTTAATATTCAAACATTGAGATTTTAAGAACTTAAACTTAGGAGTCTAATATCTGAATTAGGTGGTTGGATTGGCAAAAAGCATTTTAATGAAAGGATTATTCATTTCCCCCCTTCCACTTGTTTCTTGCAATTATTCCTTCACAGTTTGTATGAAGGTCAGAGGTAAATTCATGTCAACCATTAATAGTTCTGCATTCAGCTACATTCTGCTGAAATAGCCACTGTGGAAAATTTTTTCTACCTGCCACCTTAGTTTTTTGCAAAAAATGTATTCAGTGATCCGATTAGTTTTATGATAGCTTTCCATTTTCCAATTCTGATTATTTTTTCCTTCTTGATAGATGTCAAATAGGGTTAATATTTTACCATAGAATCGTAACACCTTAAAATAATATGTAGATGACAAGTCGGTAAATTTTAATAAGTTAATTCTATACTGATGAAATTGTTAAAGCAATAATAAACAACTGCTATAGTATAATTAACAGACTGTTGAGTAATACTCTTCAATTTCTACCCACGTACATTTTTTGTGGATTACCAATGGTAAATTGGGTATTAATTATTATATAGTGATTCATGCCAAGTGAAAGGATGTGTGGACTTAAATTTGGAACTCAATAATTCTACTCTGGTATGGCAAATAATTAGAAAATATAAACTGCGGCATGAAATATTGAATGCAGCCAAAGCACAGCCACCAAGAGGGATTTATATTTTTTCTCATTAAACTTTTGTTTTCATGGCTCTCAAAATTCTGTGACAGATTTTTGGTCAAGTTGCTTCCACTAAAAAGTACTGATTTTAAAAACTAATAACTTGGGGTCCCTGGGTGAGTCAGTCAATTAAACATCCGACTTCAGCTCAGGTCATGATCTCACAGTTCATGAGTTGGAGCCTCGCGTGGGGCTCTGTGCTGACAGCTTGGAGCCTGGAGCCTGCTTCACCTTCTGTGTGTGTTTGTGTGTCTCTCTCTGCCCCTCCCTGACTCACGCTCTGTTTGTCTCTGTCTCTCAAAAATAAATAAATGTTTAACAAATTAAAAACACCTAATAACTTAAAACTGCCACACGCACACAAGTAAATGACCCACAAAACATTCTCCTTTCCTTCTGGAGGTTTTATGATGCATTGTTTTCATTAACCAGTCTTTTTTTTTCCAAGTTTATTTATTTATTTTGAGGGAGAGAGAGAGAGAGAGAGAGAGAGAGAGAGAGTCCCAAACAGGCTCTGCATTGCCAGCATGGGGCCTGACTGGGGGCTCAAACTCAGAAACCGTGAGATCATGACCTGAGCCGAAACCGAGAGCTGGATGCTTAACCACCTGAGCCACCCAGGCGCCTCTCGTTAACCAATCTCTTACTATCAAGCTTCAATGGCCAATTGACACTAACAGTTCTGAGACTGTTCTTCCACCACTGATTAAGGGGGCGCCTGGGTGGCTCAGTCGGTTAAGTGTCCAACTTCGGCTCAGGTCATGATCTCACGTTTCGTGGGTTTGAGCCCCGCGTCAGGCTCTGTGATGACAGCCAGCTCAGAGCCTGGAGTCTGTTTCAGATTCTGTATCTCCCTCTCTCTCTGTCCCTCCCCTGCTCACCCTGTCTCTCTCTCTCTCAGAAATAAAAAAAATTAAACAAAAAAAAAAAAGAGAGAGAGAGATGCTGTTAAAAAAATGGGGCATCTGGGTGGCTCAGTCGGTTAAGTGTCTGACTTCGGTTCAGGTCATGATCTCACAGTCTGTGGGTTTGAGCCCCATGTCAGGCTCTGTGCTGCCAGCTCAGAGCCTGGAGCCTGCTTCAGATTCTGTGTCTCCCTCTCTCTCCGACCCTCCCCTGTTCACACTGTTTCTCTCCCTCTCTCTCAGAAAAAAAAAAAAGGACCGGGGTGGCAGGTACTGGGGAAAATGCTCATTGAGCCCTCTGAGCCTTCTGGGCAGGCGTGGTGACCTTGCCGGCTCTAGCTGCCTTCTTGTCCACTGCTTTGATGACTCCCACAGCCACCGTCTGTCTCCTGTCACCAACAGCAAAAACAGCTCCTAGGAGGGTAGTCAGAGAAGCTCTCAACACACAGAGGCTTGCCAGGAACCATGTCAACAGTGGCAGCGTCAGCAGATTTCAGGAACTTGAGACTATCTTCCAGCTTCTTTCCAGAATGACGATCAGTCTTCTCTTTCAGCTCCGCAAACTTGTGAGCAGCTTGAGCTGTGTAACCGTCCAGGACAGGTGCATAGCCGGCACTGACATGGCCTGGATGGTTCAGGATAATCACCTGAGCTGCGAAGCCAGCTGCTTCCATCGGTGGGTTGTTTCTGCTGTCACCAGCCACAGCGAACATCTTTAACAGATTTGTTCTTGACACAGAAGCCCACGCTGTCCCCAGGAGGAGCCTCACTCAAAGCTTCATGGTGCAGTTGAACAGACTCCACTTCAGTTGTAACATTGACTGGAGCAAAAGTGACCACCATGCCTGGGTCAAGGGCACTACTCTCCACTCGGCCCACAGGGACAGTACCAGTACCATCAATTTTGTAGACCTCCTGGAGGGGCAGATGCAAGGGCTTGTCAGTTGGACAAGTTGGTGACAGAATGCAGTCTATAGCTTTCAAGCAGTGTTCATGATCCCAGCATGAGCAGGGGAGGGTCAGAGAGAGAGAGGGAGACACAGAATCCAAAGCAGGCTTCAGGCTCTGAGCCAGCTGTCAGCACAGAGCCCGACGCGGGGCTTGAACCCACGAACTACGAGATCATGACCTGAGCTGAAGTCGGACGCTTTAACCAACTGAGCCACCCAGGTGCCCCTACGTTTATTTATTTTTGAGAGACATAGAGAGACAGAGTGCGAGCAGGGCAGGGGCAGAGATAGGAGATGAGGAATCTGAAGCAGGCTCCAGGCTCTGAGCTTTTAGCACAGAGCCTGATGCAGGGCTTGAACCCCCGAACTATGAGATTGTGACCTGAGCCAAAGTCAGTTGTTCAACCGACTGAGCCCCCCAGGTGCCCCTGGCATTGCCATCTTTATGGATGACGTTCCATCCCTTGAACCAAGGCATGTGAGCAACTTGGCTCCAGCACCTTGTCACCATTCCAACCAGAAATTGGCAAACATGCTACAGTGTTGGGGTTGTGGCCAATTTTCTTAATATAGGTGCTGACTTCCTTGACAATTTCCTGGAATCTCATGACAGTAGGGTAGCTCAGTGGAATCCATTTTGTCAACACCAACAATTAGTTGTTTCACACCCATTGTGAAAGCCAGAAGGGCTTGCTCATGGTCTGCCCATTCTTGGAGATGCCTGTGTCAGATTCGCCAACACCAGCAGCAATAATCGGGACAGCACAGTCAGCCTGAGATGTGCCTGTAATTATGTTTTTGATAAAGTCTCCGTGTCCTGAGGCATCAATGATGAGTACATAATACTCGCCGGTCTCCAGGGGCGCCTGGGTGGCTCAGTGGGTTAAGTGGCCAACTTGGGCTCAGGTCATGATCTCACCGTTTGTGGGTTCGAGGCCCACGTCGGGCTCTGTGCTGACAGCTAGCTCAGAGCCTGGAGCCTGTTTCAGATTCTGTATCTCCCTCTCTCTCTGACCCTCCCCTGCTCACGCTCTCTCTCTCTCAGAAATTAAAAAAAAAAAGTAACTATAGAGAACAAACTGAGGGTTGATGGAGGGGAGGTGGGCCGGGATGGGTTAAATGAGTGATGGGTATTAAGGAGGGCACTTGTGATGAGCACTGGGTGTTGTATGTAATTGATGAATCACTAAAATTCTACTCCTGAAACCAATATCACACTATATGTGAACTAACTAGAATTTAAATTAAAAAACTTGAAAAATAAATAAACACAATTATTTGAAACAAATACTTGCTGGTCTTGAATTTCCACAGGGAGATATCAAAGATGATACCACGTTCATGTTCAGCTTTCAGTTTATCCAAGACCTAGGAATACTTGGAGGAACCCTTTCCCATCTCAGCAGCCTCCTCCCCAAAATTTTCAATAGTTCTTTTGTCAATACCGTCACCTTTGTTGATCAGATGACCAGTGGTGGTAGATTTGCCCGACTCTACGTGTCCAATGACAACAATGTGGATATGAGTCTTTCCCTTTCCTGTTTTGGTTTAGATTTGGTGGTGATTTTCATACCTGTGTTCTGGTGGCAAACTCATTATGGAAAAAAGGGGATTAAAAAAAAAAAGACGCTCTGCACATCAGGTGAAAAGCAAATCCTTGTTTAGAAGCACAGGCTGTTTTAGATTACAGATCAACAAGTTCTTTCCATTTTCTTTCTTTTTTTGTGAGTATTTAAAAAATTTTTTTAAATATTTTACCTTTTAATTTATTTTTTAATTTACATCCAAGTTAGCATATAGTGCAGCAATGATTTCAGGAGTAGATTCCTTAAGTCTCTTACCCATTTAGCCCCTCCCCCCTCCTACACCCCCTCCAGCAACCCTCTGTTTGTTCTCTATATTTAAGAGTCTCTTATGTTTTGTCCCCCTCCCTGTTTTTATAGTATTTTTCCTTCCCTTCCCTTATGTTCATCTGTTTTGTATCTTAAATTCCTCCTATGAGTGAAGTCTTAGGATATTTATCTTTTTCTGACCAATTTCGCTTTTCATGATACCCTCTAGTTCCATCCATGTAGGTGCACATGGCAAGATTTCATTCTTTTTGTTTGCCGAGTAATACTCCACTGTATGCATGTATCACATCTTCTTTATCCATTCATCCGTTGATGGACATTTGGCTCTTTCCATACTTGGGCTATTGTCAATAGTACTGCTATAAACATGGGTATGCATGTGCCCATGTGAAACAGCACACCTGTATCCCTTGAGTAAATACCTAGTAGTGGAATTGCTGGGTCGTAGGGTAGTTCTATTTTTAATTTTTTGAGGAACCTCCATACTGTTTCCCAGAGTGGCTGCACCAGTTGCATTCCCACTAGCAGTACAAAAGAGATCATCTTTCGCTGCATCCTCCCCAACATCTGTTGTTGCCTGAGTTGTTAATGTTAGCCATTCTGACAGGTGTGAGGTGGTATCTCATTGTGGTTTTGATTTGTATTTCCCCGATGATGAGTGAGGCTGAGCATCTCTTCATGTGTCGGTTGGCCATCTGGATGTCTTCTTTGGAGAAGTGTCTATTCATGTCTTTTGCCCATTTCTTCACTGGATTATTTGTTTTTTGGGTGTTGAGTTTGATAAGTTCTTTATAGATTTTGGAAAATCATACAGATTACCTGATATGTGGTTTGCAAATATCGTCTCCCATTCTGTCCATTGACTTTCAGTTTTGCTGATTGTTTCCTTCGCTGTGCAGAAGCTTTTTATTTTGATGAGGTTTTTGCCTGCTTTCTCCTTGAGGATTTTGATGGCTTCCTGTCTTACATTTAGGTCTTTCATCCATTTTGAGTTTATTTTTGTGTATGGTGTAAGAAAAGTGGTCCAGGTTCATTTTTTGCATGTCATTGTCAGTTTTCCAAGCACCATTTGCTGAAGAGACTGTCTTTATTCCATTGGATATTCTTTCCTGCTTTGTCAAAGATTAGTTGGCCATACATTTGTGGGTCCATTTCTGGGTTCTCTATTCTGTTCCATTGATCTGCATGTCTGTTTTTGTGCCAGTACCGTACCGTCTTGACTATTACAGCTTTTTAATATAGCTTGATGTCTGGAATTGTGGTGCCTCCAGCTTTGGTTTCTTTTTCAAGATTGCTTTGGCTATACGAGGTCTTTTCTGGTTCCATACAAATTTTGCGATTGTTCTAGCTCTGTGAAGAATGCAGATGTTATTTTGATAGGGATTGCTTTTTGTGAACATTTTTCAAATTTTGTTTTTATTCATTATTTTTATTCTTTTTTTTAATTGAGGTATAATTGACATACATTATACTAGTTGCAGGTGTAAAACACCATGATTTAATATTTGTATATATTGCGGGGCACCTGGGTGGCTTGTATGGTTAAGCATCTGACTCTTGATTTCAACTCAGGTCTGGATCTCATGGTTCTTGAGTTCAAGCCCTGCATCAGCTCTGCACTGACAGCTTGGAGCCTGTTTGGGATTCTCTCTCTCCCTCTCTCTCTGCCCTTCCCCTGCTGTCTCTTTCTCTCTCAAAATAAATAAACTTAA